AAACCCCTGGGCTCAGGCAATCCTCTTGCCTCTGCCTCCTAAAGTGCTGAGATTGCAGGTATGAGCCATTGTGCCCAGCCCATTACATTTTAATTGGCACTGTTTTTCTTTCGTTAGTGTATCTTAAAATACAGTTGATGACATATTAGATCCAATTAAATATAACACATTTGTTCTGTCACCTGTCTTTTAACATTGTCTTTGATGAATTTCATTTAATCAGCTTTTAAAGTCTTTACTTGGTTATATATGAATCCATTTTGGCCTTATGGTTTATTCTTTTTTTTGGAGAGTTGTTTAAGAAATCATTTCCTACCTGAAGTCACAAAACATAGTTCTACATTTTATTCTGTTAACTTTTCTAAAATATTTTTAAAGTTTTTAATATATATGGAATTCATCTTTGTACATCGCTGTTCATCTTTAGCTATAGAGAAAAATTTGTGTGTTACCTAGTAGTTTGTGGGGTAGCTGCTATCATTTTACCAGGTGTTTGCATGTATCCAGTTCTCTTGAGTCATAAATGTCTTCATTGGTGTATTTGCTTACCTGCAACAATACCAGACCTCTTGTTAATAGGAGTCTAATATTTGATTCTTTCTGGTAAAGCACCATCCTCCTTATTTCTAAATTCAGTTAGTCACTCCTGAACTTTTATCTTTTCATGTAATTGTTGAAAAATGTACCATTCCTTTGGAAATTCCAATGTAATTTTACTTGTGATTATATTGAGTTTATACTTTATTTTGTCAGTCTCATATCTTTGAAAACTTTAGCCACCCCTTCACATGAATATTGTCCATCTCATCATTTACTTGTATCTGTTTTTACATTATTCTTAATATTATAAATAACTTTAGTACCTCTATTGCTATTAACAACAGTAGTTTGTTAGTTCTGTAAAGTTTTTTGGTAAGATGATCATATCACCTGCAGATAACAGTAGTGTGATTCTTCTCAGCTATATGTATAATTTTATTTTATTTATGTTTTTGGCCTTTAGTACCAGTGTGGCCTTCCAGGATATGCTGAACTGTAGCAGGATACCAGGCATTTTTATTTTGTTCCTATTCTTAAAGGGAATGCCTCCATTGTTTCACACTTAATACCTTAGGTTTTTTTAACATATAGTTTTATATTTTATCTGAGTTTGAGAATATTCCTCTCATCCTAATTTTCTAAGAGTTTTAACTTTAAATAGATGTTAAACTTTACTAAGTGTCATTTCGGCTTCTGTTAGGATCATTGCGTAATTTTTTTTATTTCACTAAATATGTTGTGTTTTTTGAAATTAAATTATGCTTGCTGTTATTTAAACTTCCTTCCAGGTCTTTTAGATTTTACCCTGTTCTTTTTCTAACTTAGTTTATCACTTAGTTTATACCTTTTTTAATCTTTTTAAACACTGTTTCACAATTCTTTTTCAAAACTCTAAGGGTGCAGTTCAGAATTCAGAATTTAGGTGCTGGAAAAATAAGTACATAGTCCTTATTACAGAACCATTGTTATTAAGACTGGGACAGCATCCCTTATGAACATCACTCAGTACAATAAAGGAAATAAATAGTTTCATATCTGTTTAGGACAGGTTTTGCTACCAGATGAATTTGTTGCAAACTTTTTAAATTGCGTATAAGAGATAATGAACTTTTCTGTGTTTAAAGCTATGAATTCTCTTCTAAGTACTGTTCCAGTTATAACCTATACAAGCCTATATTTTTAATCTGTGTTATTCATTTCTAAATATTTTCTAATTTTCTTCTTTCTTTTTTTTTGAAATGGTTTTGCCGTGTTGCTCACGCTGGTCTCAAATTCTTGGGTTCAAGTGATACTTTTAATCTATGTTATTCAGATCTAAATATTTTCTAATTTTCTTTTCTTTCTTTTTGTTGAGACAGGGTCTTGCTGGGTTGCTCAGGCTAGTCTCAAACTCCTGGGCCCAAGCACTCCTTTACTTCAGCCTCCTAAGTAGCTGGAGTTGTAGGTACGAGCCACTGCCCTTGGCTTCTAATTTACATTTTGATTTTTTTCCTTACATTTTACAGCGCTGTATGGCCTTTGGTAATATACTAAACAGTTAAGCATAATGTTTTCCTTGAGCTTCTAATTTATTGCCATGCAATAAAAAAGTGCGTTCTGGCTGATACCTTCTCTGAGTGATACTAGTGGTCTTGTTGAAACTTAGGTTTATTGCAAAAATTTATGTTTTATCTCTGTTTTATTTCAGAGTGTCTTGTGTCTGCATCAGGTGTTTTAATTAGTGTTCAAACAGTTCAGTCTTAACCATTTCTGTTTGTTATACAAATGAGAGAGAAAGAAAGAGACAATAGAGATCATCAATATTACCCACCTTGTGGATTCATTCTCTGTATTTTATTTTTTAAATTGTCTAGTTTAAAGGGATATTATAAGGTGTATGTGGGCTCCGCATTTTTACATCCTTGTGAATGTTTCTTTTAACATCATTAACCTTTCTTATCTCTAATAATACTTTTTGCTTTAGTCTTATTGTCTGATGACAGTGTAGCTACACCAGTTTTCATATAGTTTTTACATAACTGATGATTATTATGACTCTTCAACTTTCAGATTTACTGTGCTGTTATGTGTAGTTGTTTCTTTTGTACATAACTGGACTTTTTAAGAAAACCAAAATATCTAGTATCTTCATCTTTTAACTGAGAGCTTAATCTGTTCACATTTAATGTGATTTGTTACTTTTATTGTGACTCACTTATTTAATAAATACTAAAATCTGCTGAAATATGAAGTGATTCACAATTTCCCCAGTAAAATTTAAGTCAGTTTTTTGACCATTTGATATATACACTTAAAGAGTCATATAAGAAATAACCAAAAATAATCTTATTTGATTTATTAATTTAATTGCATATATGTGTATAAGATTTCATTGTGTAAATAATACATTCAAGAATAGTGCTTCTTACCCCATGCAATAATTATATTCTGATTTTTCACAGGCATCTTGGATATCTTATTCTTCATGAGAATCATGTTTTGAAAAATTTATGTTTTTTTAACAATCCTATTTTCATGTCTGTATGAATACTTTAGATCCATAAACTTCTTGAATCGTGTGTGTTGCTGTCCCTCGAAATTGTACCCAAGTCTTAAATATCTTTTCATTATTTGTGATTCCTACACTTGACCCCTTTTTGTTGTAATCTTTAAAGGTTTGTTTACTTGGTTGTATGGTGCTTGCATTGTAAAGTTCCACTACTAGGAGTATGTACTATGAGTGAGAATACATACTATATCTGTATCAAATTATTTTGCCTCTTCTTTAAAAAAAGTAATTTCTAAACACCGAGAGGCACTGTTGATAGAGATTATTTCTGGCCGAAGTTAACTACTTGGGATTGGGTTCCATTGCATATATTAGGATACCCAGACTTACGTGACTTTAGCAGGGTAGAAGTTCATTTGCCCTCATCTGCCTGTGTCGAGGGAAGCTCCATAGATGATTGGAGACCCAGGCTATCATCCTGCTGCGCTACCCTTGAGGCGTGTAACTTCCGTTCGTGAGTCACCTTGAGGCAGGATGGCAAGCAGATGGGCAGAGAAAAGGCCCCTTGCAGCTTTGTCAGCTTGGCCAAGGCAGCACTGACCACACCTCGTTGCAAGAGCAACTGACACACCTGGTCTTTGGTTCCAGGGGAGTGTAGGGACAGGAGAAGACATGCTAGGTTGGCACCTTTTGACTCTGCTGCGTGCCTGCACACACAGCCAAGGGCCGTTGCTGAGTGCCTGGCGATATGAGAGACTGAAAACTCTCCTGTATGATGACTCTCTGGAACCTCAGGGATAATAACTGGGGAAAAATGTCTTATGGATGCTATTTCTATCTCTTTTTTCTAAATACCAGGCTTTTACCTTTTTCATTTCGGTTTTATTTTCTTTGCCTTCTGTCTACTTGATCAGGTTTTCTTGATTCGGTTTTTTTTATTCCTTTCTTCCTCTCATGCTTAACATGAGTCTTTTCTGGCAGAATTTTATTAATACTTCTCCTTACGAAGCAGTACAGGGACTTAATAGACTCCTACATCAGTCATTCCCCGTCCCTAACCTTCTGTCATGATGTCTTGGTCTGGTGTTTAAGTTTCCCTCATTTTATATTTCCCAGGAGTGTTATTATTGAGAATCACCAGTTCCTTACATGTATCTACCAGTTTCTTTGCTGATCTTTAGGTAATTTATTGCTTTATTCACCCATCTTCTTTGGGCTTAAAATTCCTTTTTCTAAAGTATGTTCTCTGTTAAATCCTTCCGTGGGGATTTGTAGAAGGTAATCTCTATCTTTTAATGAGAAATTATTTTACCTCCTTAGGTAGCAGCAAATAACGGGTTCTAGGTGGATAGCTATTTTCCTGTAAACCCTTGGGAAATTCCTTCATCATGTTCCAGCCTTTGTTCTGGTGAGACTAGTGTCAGTCTAATTGTTCATCTTTTTTTTGTTTGTTTTTTTGTTTTGTTTTTTAGTGGCTCTTCAGAATTCTTCTCTATATTCCACTTACTCTTTTAGTGACTTCCTATAGATAATATTTATTTTTAAACCACTTAACTATGTAAGACCATAGCTCACTCTGCCTGTTCTTGCCTCTGATCTTAATCATTTTATATTTCCTCCCTGTTTGTCTTATTTCAGATTTTTTTCCTGAGGTATCTTATTTAGCAACTTCTTAAGTGAGTTTTAAAATCAAAGCAAAAATGTGCCATTTATCATACATCTTGGAATTCTAGCTCATTTTGTTTCTTAATTTAAGTAGTACAGGTAGCCTTTTAAAAATAGAATTTCTGGGAATGTATATGATTTTTAGCATACTATTCCTTATTTTGTTTCTTAAAAACACAAAAAAGAAAACCAGTCTGCAAATAGGGTGTAATGACAATACTACTGTGTTATACTTCCCCCAGGGTAAGATGGTAGCATGTAACATGCATGTGTGTTGAGTGTACCACTCTTTGTCTCTTCTCCCCAGCCCACCAAGCCACAACATTGTGGTAAATGGAAAAGAATGTATAAACTTTGCCTCGTTTAATTTTCTTGGATTGTTGGATAACCCTAGGGTTAAGGTGAGTAACATCTAATGCTGAAGCAGACAGATGACATTACTGACCTAAGAAACTGGACATAAAAGACAAGGGCAGAATATTAGAAAGGGCTGTGTGAATGTTTCCCATTCCTTTCTGTCTCACAGAGTTGTGTGACTCAACCGAAGCAGAGGGAGGAAAGAGTATCTAATGTGGCTCAGTTTGGGGAGACAGCCAGACCTGGGGAACAGTCAGTGAAGAGTCCAGGAAATTCCCTCCATCTTTTGGGGGCTTTGTGGGCTAACAAGCATTTTTCAGGGAAGACTTGGACTTTCAGTGCTGGAAAGTTAATCACCAGGGTTTGAGAATCAGGCTCGTGTTATTTTTCTGTGTTTTAAGTCATACACTGTATCTTTGCATCTGTCTTTTCTTTGTATCCTGTTAGAATTGTCATAGTTCTCAAAGGAAGAAGAGTAGGAGAGGGAGGAGGGAACTGTGTATGTTAAAAAATCGGAAATGTTAGTTGTATGCTCTGAAAGATCAGTTACTAAAGTGTTGGTTTTTTTACGTCAATAAAGGCAGCAGCTTTAGCGTCTCTGAAGAAGTATGGTGTGGGGACTTGTGGACCCCGAGGATTTTATGGCACGTTTGGTAAGTTTTGTCATGTTCTTTTCCAGTCAACTACTTTCAAGAGTTAAGATTCCGTTTTATCTCACAAAGCCTTGGAAAACATATCCTTAGTGAGTTGTAGTGTTAGGCTGGTACGTGTGATTTTCTACCCAACTTTCTAGAACATGTGGTTGGGAACCATTGGCAGGAAGGGCCTTGGTGTGAGGTCACGTGTGACCATGGAGAGAGCTGAGGTGCCTGAGGTCATGCTGTATCGGGGGCGATGGTAGAGCTGCCACTGCACATGCCGCAGAGACGGCGATGAGAAGACAGTGTGTTTCTGTCGTGCGTGACAGTTGCAAGGCGAAGGGCCCATCTGTGTGTGACACTGCCCTTCACAGTCATGCAGGGACTCAGATCTTGCCCATCTCATTCTCTAATGTCCGAGGCTTCCATCCTTGTCTGTATGTGGGGTCGCAGTATGAGGAACCAGCGTGTAGAGCAGCAGTGTCCTTCATGCCAGGGAGGTGACCTGCTTGTCACTTTGGCCCACAGTCCATTGCTGAGAATGTAACCCCAGGTCACGACTAGCTGCAAGAGGGGGCCAGGAAACAGCACTGACTGGACAGCTGCATGCCAGAAAGAAAGCTGAGAGCAGATTTCCTTGGGGGAGGGGGAGATGAACTATGTAACCTTTTTCTCTCTAGAATGAAGATAAAGATCATTGATTTCCTTGTGTGTGAATGACTTGGGGATAGGTTAACTAAGTATTTGATGCATGTATGAGTTCAAATAGTATGAACTCACTAACAGAATCATCAGGGACAATCTTGGCATGTTGTGGTTTATTTTTATCAAGTCTATGTTATTCTTAGCTTCTGAAAATGTCATTAAATAATTATTCAAATGAATATGTGGGAAATAACTCTCTGGCTTACAAAGTGTCAGCATGCGGGGAAAGTAGAGCAAGGGAATATCTCCCGTCTTCCACCCTCATGTCAATTTCTGAATCTTTTTTGTGTTTATTCTTACTTGAACAGTTAAGTTTTTTTACGTAAAGGAACACTTTTCTTTATTCTTTAACTTGGTGGTTACATTATTTGTCTTGGAAACAGATGAGGAGATTAGTGTCCAAGTATCCTACAGCTGGAAGGGATCTTGTATTTTATTATCCCTGCTATTTTGAATAGGAAGAGGAAGCCCAGTGAGGTTAAGTGTCTTCCTCATAGTCACACAGCTCATGAATTTCAACCCTAAAATTAGAAACCAAGTATCCTGACTTCGGGTCTTGATGGCAAGATCAAAGAAGTGAGCTCAGATTAGCATCTCCCACTTTCCTCTAGTCTAATGCAAGCATGGGTTATTGGGTTGATTTTTATTGGTAGAGAATTATTTCCTTGACAAGAACTAGAAAACTAAAAAAGGCACATTTTATGGGGTTGTTTGTAATCTGGTCAGCAAGACTTTCCTTCTGTGATTGCTTGCTGGGGTAAACTACTTTCTTAAAAGCCTCTCCTAGTAACTTTTATTTGCATGTGTGGCCTTGGCCCCTGCTTGAGACTTAATCTGAGAAGACAGTTCAGAGATTTATTGCCAAATAAAATTGTGGGAAAAAAATGTTTCAGTCCAGCCTCAGTGGCTCACTCCTGTAATCCCAGAACTTTGGGAGGCCAAGGTGAGAGGATTGCCTGAGCCCACGGGTTTGAGACCAGCCTGAGCAATTTGGTGAAACCTCATCTCTACAATAAATCAAGAAAAATTAGCCAGGCGTGATAACATGCACCTGTAGTTCCAGCTACTTGGAAGGCTTAAGCATAAGAATTGCCTGAGCCCAGCAGGTCGAGGCTGTGGTGGCCGTGAGTGTGCCACTGCACTCCAGCCTGAGCGACAGAATGAGACTCCTACTCAAAAAAAAACAAGTTTTAAATCTCCAAGACCAGTTTTCTCAAAGTTGTGAAGTGTATTGTTAAAATAACCCAGTCACCTTTTCATTTGGATCACCGTGCCGAATAGCAGACTAGGTACTTTCAGACGTTGGGTCTTTAGATTGAAGGTTTTTAAATTAATTTCTTGATAGGGTAGTTCAGTGCATGACATAAACTTCAACACACATGCAAGACAGACTTTAGATGTTTTCTAACCTCTGGCCCTGTCCTCTTCTCCGCTGCCATCCCACCCCTCAAAAAAGACAAGCTACTGTGAGTAGTTTCATTGTTAATTTTTCTGTAGACTTTTTCTCAACATAATACAAACCACTTCCATACATATATTTTCCCCTCATTTTTACAAAAATGCTAGAATACCATATACATTGTTCTGTACCTTGCTGTTGAAGTGAGTATGTTTTAAAATTCAAATTGAATTTGATCTTTCACATGTCTGAATGGGCTACCAGAGACAATATAATAAGCACACAGTTGTGTATCAAATCTTCTGTAAATGACTTGATTGGTTGCTGAGTCATCATTATCCCGAAACTGTAATTGAAATTTCAAACAGACTGTGACATTTAGACAAACGTGCAAATTAATTTGCAGTGGAATAGTTGTATAACAAGATACCAAACCTACAATTTGAAGTAATGTGTAACGTTTTTGAGTACATTGTCCTTCAAATAAACTTTTTATTCCTTAACAGTTGCCCATGTTTACTTGTCATCTTCTTCCTTTTTCTATGTATGTATTGCCCATATTTGTACTTCTTTGGTTTTTGACAGGTTTTTTCCTTTGTTTTTCCTTATTTTGGAAGTAATCGTTTGAATTATAGTTATATTAAATTACATTGAAATTTTAGCATAAGATATTATCAGAGAAGCTACTTGGGGTCATCTAAGGCTAAATTTTAAATCTCTAAAATACTCTACAATTGAATTATTCTAAATAGGGGGTGTTTGCCCTTTGCACTGACCAATAGAGCAGACATGAGACCCCTTCTCTTGTTTATAGTAGCTCATATATTAGTGTATTCTTGAAGAGTTTAGTTCGAGACTTAGCATCTCTTTCCCTGGGCTTCCACAAGGTTGCTTTTAATTTTGTCTTTTATATTTTCAAAGCCCGCTCCTTGTAACTCTTTTCTAGCTTTTCAGATAATAAATGTGAATCACTTATAAAAGTAAATTTTCTCATTAAACATTCTCTTTTGTTGGCTATTTCACAGTAGCAATTTTGTGTTAGATAATTAATACAAAAAGTAAAGAAAGGAATGGTTGACTTAAAATTACTCGTTTTTTTAAGACTGAGTGTTCCCCTACCTTCTCCAGAAGGCCTGGCAAATAGAACTAAACAAGTTCTTACAATAGTTTCTGAAAGGCTGTGTAAGCCGAATTTCTTCCCACCTACTTGTGTATATTTTAGTATTGAACAAGTGGTTTTAATGAGTGGTGGAGTCTTCCTTCCCTCTAAGGCTAATGAGTTCCCAGTGCACTTAGAATAGTGTCCGTTGTTGAACTTCCTTGTTTCTTTATGTTTTGTTTTTAATGTATTCAAATCTTATTTGCCCATGATTTCTCCGTGGTGCCCTGAGGTCTGTTTTGTATATGTAGGGGACGTTGGGTCTTGAACTAGATCAAAAAACAATTGTGTGGCAGTTTCATTGTGAGAGAGAATGATACTTAATCGTGTTCTCAAGCCAGCATAGATCAAACAGTTATTCATTTAGATAGCTTTTAAAAATATTTCCCTTCTTTGTTTTAGAGCAGTCAACTGAACCATGACTGCATGTTTTAGTAGGAAGAACGTATGATCATAAAATTTCTAGATCTGCCACTTTTTCCTACAGGTCATGGGATCCTAGTTTTTTAGGTGTAGGAAGGGAACCAACTTGCTTGCACAACTTAGACTATCTTGGTAAGAGTCATGTGAGATCCTGCCTATGAAAACGTTGTGAGGAGCATTAAGTACTACATTTATGTTTTAGTGAATACATTAAGTCCTATCATTTGTGCTCTTAAGTAGACTCGTCCGTGACTCTAGGGATTTTTTTCCAAAGGACAGTATGATTGCCAGAATATGAAGGCCCGAAAAAAATGTAAAGACAATCAAATGTTTGATTGTTTCTTTTTTTTTTTTTTTTATTTTAAAGATGTGTGGTACAATTCAGGGTGAGGTACATAAGAGGTCATCGTACGGGTAAAGTTGGGCCTCCCCTTGGCCGCCCTCTTCTCCTGGTTTAAGACTGGGTACCCTTTTTGATGTTGTGTGACCCCCTCCCAGTAGTGTCCCACTACTACCAAACTGTTCTCGAACTGATTATATTGTGGTCTTTCCTCTGGAAAACAACCAAGAAGGCTGTACTCTTTCTTCTTGAGAGAAGCTGCACAAGTGTCTGTCAAGAGATTCTAGTCTTGGACTCTTTGGGATTGCTGGAAGAGAGCTTACGGTGTGACCAGATTTTTCCTTTTAAAAGAAAACCTTTTATTTTTTTCTATTGAATTGAACAAATCCTACACAACAAATCCTCTGCCAGCCGCTGCTTTGAGTGCTTTCTCAGCATTGATTACCAGCCCTTGAGGAACAGAGGGCCCTTGCTCCTGTTTGACAGAGGAAGGCACTGCAAGGCACAGAGCAGTTTCAACCTTGTCCAGGGCCACGCCTGGTAATGGCGACTCCCAGGGCTGAGTCCACAAGGCCCGGCTGCACTCTGAGCTCTGTGATGACTCAGGTGGCCAGGCCTCCTTTCTCTGAGGTTCTGCTGGGAGACTGACAGGCAGGTAAGAGAGTGCCAAGTGCCGTGAGGCAGGTGGGGGCTTTCTGGGGCACCTCCCTCCATGGCCTCTTCTCTGTTGCGTTTGTTCCCAGCAGTGAAGTGGAGAGTGAGGTACTTTAGTTTTGAGTTCATGAAATCTACAGCACCAGTTGGCAAAATGAATCATACACACAGAAGATATGGACATCAGATGTTGAAGAACAGTGAGTGACCTGGTAGTTTTCCTGCTTGCTGCCGTCCCCTCCCTGGAGTTGAGAGTTGCTTCATTGCACAAAGTAGCATCAAGAGAAACAAGTTCTGCAGTTATCCATATTTACCTGTCACAAAACCTGCTTTGCAAGACTGACATCAGCTAGAATCCAGTATCTTGTGATAGAAGGAAAAGGCCAGTCTTTTTTGAACTTTTGGGAGTAGCCAAGAAGCAATAAGTCATTGATTTGTTGCTTAGCGATTCTTCTTGCCACCTTACGGCAACTGTATATAAACAGTTATGAGTGGATGTAATGATGGGATGATTCCTAACATGCCAATTTCCATCAAGTGGGTGACTCATTCTGATGCCCTGAAATAAGGTCATACTCAGTTTTACCGTCTCTACCACTCACCGATGAAAAGAGTCATTAAGAGCTAGGAAGTCTACAGCATGATTTTTAAATCCCTTTTTTAGTTAGCAAAAGTAGTTTGTATCCATAACATGTTTTTATTTTTGCAATGGAAATCAGATGAAGGCAAATCATTGTAGCCTGTGTTGTCCATGTGCTGACTAAATTGTGAAGATTTGTGACAGGTATTCCTAATTAGAGACAGCATTGTAATTTGAGAGAGGCCTCCTTCCTGGGTCCTGCCTGATGGGGAAGTGAGAGGCGGCAGAGTGATGACGCTCGGAGAACACTAATGAGGATGAAGATGTAGACCCCAGAGGCTAACCCTCGCCCAACCCCTTGGCGGCTTTTCTCTTTCTTGCCAGCTTTTGCCTGAAACCTTTCACTGATAGCATCTCTCCTAGAAGGCGGCTGCCAGGTACAAGCGGTCAAGGCCTTAGACCTGGAGTTATATTGATGTCACAGATCATTTGGGATACTTTCTTCTAAACTTTGTGTTGCTGTAAAATCCCACACTTATTTAATGTTGATATAGTGAAAATTTCTGTTCTATAAAATTCCCATAACTGATTGGCAATGGAAATGAAATGATAGCTCACAGATTTTTTTTGTGTGAGTTGTAGTCTTACTCTGTCGCCCAGTCTGGGGTGCAGGGGCACACTCACGAGCACCCCCACATCGCCCTGCTGGGCTCCAGTGACACTTCGCCTCAGTTCCCCAAGTAGCCAGAACTACAGGCACACGCTGCCACGCCCAGCTAATTTTTTTGATTGTATTGTAGAGACGAGGTCTCGCCAAGGTGCCTGGGCGAGTCTCGAACCCACAGGCTCAGGCAGTCCACTCACCTTGGCCTTCCAAAGTGCTGGAATTATAGGCTGAGCCACCAAGCCCTGCCCACAGATTTTTTTTGTATGATGGTAGTCTGCATTTATTACATTTTAACTGAAAAATAGGAAGAAGCATGCTTCATGTCGTATCACTACTTGATTGTAGTGGGATAAATAGCTCATTTTCACAGTTCTGTAACATCCTTTTCAAAGTTCAGAGATACACTGGGTTCATAGATACACTGGGCTCTACCAGTCTGTCAGCACTCTCCACTACCCCTTGCTTGGGACTGTCCAGACCACCTGTCATTGCCCATCCTTGAGAGTTCCCCTCGGTGGAACACCATGGCTCCCTCTTCCATGATCTCAGAGTCTGTCTCTGTGACCTCTGATTTCCCTCCTTTCTCCCACAGAGCTCCAAGGCTGGAGGACCAGGCATCCTCCTGCCTGCACCTGATTCTGGGTTCTCCTCGCACTGGTCATTTGGCAAATCTGCCCTCTAGTCCTCCAGGCTTGGGTCTTGCTACAGTTAAAAGAGCTAAAGGAACTTTTTTAAACCCCTTTGTCTCCTGGATAATGTCTCATTTTAAGACCACTTTGAAGTTTTAAGGTTCAAAGCCAGTCGGTGGCCTGTTCCTCCCATCCAGGGCAGGAAGCCTCATGGGTTGGCCTGGGATGTGAAAGGCTACAAGGAACCTGTGATTTGAGAGGAAAGTTAAAACCCATCAGTTTAATCATTATCATGGATCTTCATTATTACATAAACATTCTTCTTAAGCTGCTTCTATAAAAGGACCGTATTTTTAAATATAAATTTGAATTTCCCACTACACTTCTAAGACATTCAAACAGAAAGCAGGTCCTGCAAAGTGATGATGGTAAGTACCACAACTAAACGCTGACACAGATAATTAGAAGAGTGGTCGCTTGACTTCTAATAAGTGTCACGGTCTTAACGCAGAGTAAGCAGACTTTTTGCTAAAATGCAAAAGTGCATTAATAGGTTAACGTTAGACATTGATAGCGCCTCAGTGTCCTTGACTGAGGAAAGTTAAAGCCAGTAGTCAGTGGGTCTTGAAGTTGTACAGTAGCATGACGTAAAAGCAAAACCCAGAGTGGGAGCTGCCCCAGTAACACATTTTACAGACAACGAGTAGCTGATTCAGTTCATGTATTTTAGAAGTAATTTGGGCCCAGAATTATTTTAGTAGGTCTTACATGATTTATCTTTTAAAAACAATTCCAAAGCCGGGCTCGGTGGCTCAGCCTGTCATCCTGCGCCTTTGGGAGGCTGAGGTGAGTGGAATGCCTGAGCCCGCAGGTTCGAGACCTGCCTGGGCGGGCAAGACCTCATCTCTACAATAAATAAATAAATAAATTAGCCAGGCGTGGTAGCGCGCGCCTGTAGTTCCAGCTACTTGTAAGACTGAGGCGGAAGGATCATCGGAGCCTAGCAGGTTGAGGTTGCGGTGGCCGGGAGCGGCCACTGCACTCCAGTCTGGGTGACAGAGTGAGACTCCAACTCAAAAAAAAAAAAAAAATTCCATTTGACCATAGGTGAAAGTATTCATAATTACAGTGCTTATGTCCTTTTCTTTATTCCTTAGTAGAGAAAAAGAATTAGAAGACAGTTTTAACCATTTAACTTTTAAAAATTGAAATAGATGTTCATTTGGATTTGGAAGACCGTCTGGCAAAATTTATGAAGACAGAAGAAGCCATTATATACTCGTATGGATTTGCCACCATAGCCAGTGCTATTCCTGCTTACTCTAAGAGAGGGGATATCGTATTTGTGTAAGTAACTCTCATGGCATTTCTAGTTAAACTTTGTTGGTAACAGTACTGGCTGCCTTTAAGAATTACTTTGTTAGACGTTATCTTCCTAAAATAATACTGATTTTGTCGTCGTTGTTTAAAAAATGCAGATATCTCAGCCAAGTAATTCTATAAAACTGGTGAGACCTTCACGAAAGATACTTAGAAGTGTTAAGTGTTGATCGTTGTTATCTGCCATGATGATGTTACTGATACCCAGACGAGACCAGCCGTCTGTCTTCCCTGTGCAGCTCTGTGGCTGTATGGAAAAGGCTGCCCCTATCTCATTACCCACACATTTCAAGCTCTTGGTCTCTGCTGATCTCGCTTCATAGGTTATCGAGGACAGAGAAGCCGGGACTCGAGAGCTTCTTCAACTGTCCACAAGCAGATCTGCAAGCCTGCATGGTTATGGCCTGGAAGCAGGAGAGGCTAAGAGCAGCAGAGCGTCTGCCAGTGCAGTCTGAGCCCCTCTGTCTTTTCAGTGGACTGTTAAAGGACTCTTTTAGTTTTGGGTCTCAAATTTACTTTTGTTTCCTCTTTTCTTTTTAAGAAATGCAGAGCTGGTTATGTCACATCCCATTTAACACATATAAAAGCTTCCGTTGTTCCTAAAATAAAGACTTTGAGTTCTGGGCCGTGTCTTCAGGCTCCTTAGGTCCTGTTTCCCTAAGGGGATAAGTTGTTTCCTCTGGCCTCAGGGCTTTGCACATGTTAGCCCCTATACCTAGAATACCATTCGTCCTCTCTCCTGCTTAATTTCTGCTCATCCTGCATATACGTTGCCTTTGCAGGAATGCCTTCCCCATCCGCTCAGACCAAGTCAAGAACCCTGCTGCATAGGGAGCAAATCTTACCGCCAGAGAGCATCTGGTGTCCCCATGAATCCGTGCTCACACAAGCACTCACACCACCTGTCACTCTGCTTCTCAGACTCCCTGACGTGTATGCAGGCACAGTCCTCTGCTCGCGGGCTTCACACTTGCTGTGTTCCTCTTTCGTAGCAGTCACAGTGGTTTGTCCTTTTGTTTCTGGGTGGTTGTTTGTCTCTTGCTGAGAGCCCCTTACTTAGGAAAGCATTTGTTGTTTAGGGGTGCTCAGTAAGCACTCATTCAGTAAATGAGTACATGGAAGCTAGAGCCCAGATGAGCGGGGTCCAGGTGACTGCATGCTGGGGCCTGGCCTGCCTTAGCCCTGCAGGGTCCTGTTACCACGCACCGTCGGAGCTCCTGTCTGTGCAGCAGCAGAACCTTCCATCACACTAGAGCAGAACTGATGCTACCTGGGGTTTCAGGGCACACATGACCCGTCCCTTGTCATAGCCCTTCCACAGCCTGGGAGCACTGCAGGAAGTGGCCTGAGCCTGTAGTACTGTGTTCCAATGTGACCGTGAAAACAAATATTTTCATTAATTTTTTTGCACATAGTTATCAAGTAATATAAAAGACTCATCACAAATTTGAGAGCCATTGATTTAAACAGTGTTTTAAGGCTTATAGTAGTAGCTGAGTTACAGACAAGTGCGGTGTCATTCAGTATCACTTTATAACCAATCACCCCACTATAATTGTTTTTTTCTAATTTAAGTCTAGAGAAAGTTTATGGTTACAGGCGGGCTTGTGTGCCTCCCTTGTCTGAAGATAAATACTATATTGTCTTTTAGGTATTACCTGCTAGGAAACCTAGGCTAAATTAACTTCTATGTTATGTCCAGTGTTGTAAAACGTCAGGTCCAAGCTGGGCTCGGTGGCTCAGCCTGTAATCCCATGCCTTTGGGAGGCTGAGGTGAGTAGATTGCCTGAGCCCGCGGGTTCGAGACCTGCCTGGGTGGCGAGACCTCATCTCCACAATAAATCAAAAAAATCAGCCGGGCATGGTAGCGCATGCCTGTAATTCCGGCTACTCGGAAGGCTGAGGAGGAAGGATCACCAGAGCCCTGCAGGTTGAGGCTGTGGTGGCCGGGAGCGGCCGCTGCACTCCAGTCTGGGCGACAGAGTGAGACTCCAACTCAAAAAATAAAAAAAAAATAAAAAAAAATAAAAAGTCAAGTCCAGTGAGTCATTAGATGGCCTAATTATTGTGTTCTACACAATTGTAAATACCATGTTCTGTCTTAAACGTGTCTGAGTGTGTGAGTTCTAGAGGTGAAGATGGTGTTTGGTAAACAGGTTTTGATACATTTGTTAGGCACAGACACCGTCTGATGCTGCCTCTCCTTCCTTCCAGTAAACAGTGATGATGCTTTGCCCATAGTAAGTCTCAGTGCAGTGGTCATTCATGGATTCAAGTCTGTCCTGTCACTCTACCAAGTCTGTGTTATTTCATACACCTTTTTAAAATGAAACTTTTTACATTGAGATAATTACAAAGTCACACCACTTGCGAGAAATAATACAGAGATTTCTGTGTCCTCTTTAAGCCTCCTCCAGTGGTAACCACCTACAAAACTAGCGCGGGTTCCACAACCAGGATATGGACTTTGTTGTGGTCAAAACACAGTGTTTCCATCACACAAGGATCCTTCATGTGGACACACTCAGGATCCTCCCACCTTGCCCACTCCTTAGCCCTGGCAGCCGCTAATGTGTTCTCCGTTTCTGTAACTTTGTCATGTCGAGAATGTTATACAGATGGGTTGTCCCGTAGGTAGCATTTTGAGACTGGCTGCTTTCACTCCGCATGACTCCTTGGTTATCCATCCAAGTTGTTGCTGGTTTCAAGAGTTGGTTCCTTTTGATGACTGAGTATTATTCCGCGGCGTGGATGTGCCACAGCCAGTGGAGCCAGTTACCCTTGAAGGACATCTGGGCTGTTTCGAGTTTGGGGCTGTTCAAGTTGTTACAGGTTTTTGGTGAGCGTAGGTTTTGTTCCTCTGGGTTGTGTGCCACGGAATGCAGTGGCTTGCGGATTGCAGGGGGTTTTTTTGTTTGTGTGTTTTAATAATCGATCAGCATTTTTTATTATGGTTTTGTGGGGGACGGGATTGCAGGGTTTAAGGGCCTGCCAACCGTTCTCCAGAGTGGCTGTCCCCTTTTGCACTCCCGTCAGCGATGAGTGAGTAGTCCAGCTTCTTCGCATCTTTAGGAGCATCTGGTGCTGTCGGTTCTAGGACTCCAGCCAGTCCCGTGGATGTGGAGGGACACCTCGCCGTGGTCTTGACTTACACTCCCCCGAGGCTGGACATCCTTTCAGATGCCTGCTTGCCATCCCTTCGGTGAAATGTCTGTTCCTGTCCCACTCATTTTCTAGCTGCTAGTCCCTTATCAGATATGTCATCTGCAAACACAAATTTTGATATTCACTATGCATTGTTGATGTAGAAAAATAAAGTTGTTTTTGTGTGCTCCTTTTGTCCCACAACATTGCCAAACTCCCTAGTTCTAGGAATTGCTCTTATAGATTTCTTAGGCTTCTTCACGTAGACAATCATGTCATCTGCAAACAGGAAGTTTTCTTTCTTTTTGATCTGTCTACCTCTTCTTTTCTTTTCTTTGATTGCCCTATGGCATTGGCTAGAACTTCCAAAAGTAATAAGAGCAGACATTCTGGCTTTGTTCCTAATCTTATAGAGAAAGCTTTCATCTTTCATTATTAGGTATAATGTTAACTGTAGATTTCTTATAGGAACTCTTTATCACATTCTCTTAACTACCCCCATTCTGTTTTTCTGAGGGTTTTTTTTGGTTTTTTTTTTTGGTTTTTTTTTTTAGTTGGAGTCTCACTCTTGTTGCCTAGGTTAGAGAGCAGTGGCACACTCAACGGCCACTGCAGCCTAGACCTGCTGGGCTTACGCGATCCTCCCACCTCAGCCTTCCAAGTAGCCAGAACTACAGAAGCATGTCACCATGCCCAGCTAGTTTTTGGATTTGTTGTAGAGATGAGGTCTCACCAAGTTGCCCAGGCAGGTCTCGAACCCCCAGGCTCAAGCCATCCTCTTGTCTCGACCTCCCAAACTGCTGGAATTATAGGCTGAGCCACTGCACCCAACCCTTGCTGAGCATTTTTTCTTGAATGGGTATTGAATTTTGTTAAATTTTTTTTCTGTATTGGCTGATATAGTCGTGTATTTTTCTTTTTAAGTCTGTTAGTTTGGCAGATTACATTGATTATTCTCAAATATTGAACCAGCCAGTCATGCATACTTAGAATAAATATCACTTGGTTATGGTATATAATTGTTTTTATTCTCATGTTTTTATTCTCATGTTTGTTGCTCATGTTTTGGTAAGGATTTTTTGTTTGCATTCACGAGGCAGATTGTTCTTTAGTATACTTTTTTGACACCTGGTTTTGGTAGCAGGGTAATACTTCATAGAACCAGTTGGAAGGTGTTCTCTTCTTTTTTTTGGAGCAGATTACTTAGAATTGTTTTTAATTCTTTGGATGGTCTTTCATTGTGTTTGGTAGAATTCTCCAGTGAAACCATCTGGGCCTGGAGATTTATTTTTTGGAAGTATTTTAATTTGCATTCAATTTCCTTGCTGGGCTATTCAAACTATCTTTGTTGTATTGAGTGAGTCAAGTTAGTTTTTCAAGGAATTGCTCTATTTCTTCTGAGTTGTCAAATCTGCATGTATAGTACTGTTTTTATAGTATTCCCTTATTATTTTAGTGTCTGCAGGGTTTGTAGTGATATCCTCTGTTTCATTCCTGGTGTTGGTAATTTGTCTTTTCTCTTTTTTTGTCAGTCTTTGTAGAAGTTTGTCAATGTTAGTGATTTTTTTCTCTCAAAGAATCAGCTCTTTGTTTAATTCCCCCCCCTTGCATTTCTGTGATCAGTTCCATTGATTTCTGCTCTTTATTATTTCCTGCCTTATGCTCCCTTTTGGTTTATCTTGTTCTTTTTCTCAGATTTGAGGTGGGAGCTTTGTTTATTAATTTGAGACTTTTTTCTAAAATGTCAGTTTAGTGCTGTAAATCTCTCTTTCAACACTGTCTTAGTTGTATCCCACAAATTTTGATATGTTTTAATTTGTATTTAGTTATTTCTTATTATTTCTTTATTATTTATTATATCTGCCTTTAGACGTTCTCTTTTTTTTTTCTCATAGAGAAAGGGTCTCACTATGTTGCTCCTGCTGGCCTTGAACTGTAGGACTCAAGGATTCCTCCCACTTTTGCCTCTCAGGTAGCTGGGACTACAGACATGTGCCACTGTGTCCAGCTTAGACTTTCTCTTTGACCTATAGATTATTTAGAAGTGTACTGTTTACTTTCCAGATGTTTGGAGATTCTTAGTTTGTTACTGTTTTGTGACTCATGATGTAGTCCTGTCTTGGAATATGTTCCACGGGTACTTTAAAAGGATGTGTAAAAGGCGAAAGATTTACACGAGCTGAAGAGATTCTGCTGTTGCTTGGCAGGGTGTTCTATAAATGTCAGTTAGATCTTGTTGGTCGATGGTGTTGATGGTGTTTATTCTTTTCTATCTCCGTGCGGACTTTCTATCTAGTTGTTCTATTTATTGTTGACAAGGGGTAGTGAAGTATCCAATTGTGACAGTGAGTTTGTCTGTTTCTTCTTTCAATTTATCAGTTTTTGCTTCTCACTTTATAGCTTTGTTATTTAGTACCTATTTAAGATTACTAAGTTTTCTTAGTGAATTGACCCTTTTAGCATTATATAATGTCTTTCTACGTCCCTGGTCATTTTCTTTGTTCCAAAGTCTGTTTTTTTGGATGGCCTTTCATTGTGTATGTATTGTATGCATTTATGTGTATTTGTGTGTGTGTTATTATTTTATTTCCTACCTATACTAGTATGCTTGAAGTGAGTTTTTTGTAGACAGTATACAGTTGGGTCATATTGTTTAATCCACTCAACCTGTCTTTGAAAGGTGTATTTGGCCATTAACACTTAATGTAATCATTGAGATGTTAGAATTTTAAACTTCCTTTTTGTTTTTTGTTTCTTGTTTTTTCCTCTACTTTTTGTTTCCTTGTTTTCCCTGTCTTTCTGTAGGTTAATTGAGCATGTTTCAGAATTACGGTTTTACTTATTTATAGTGTTTTTGAGTTTTTCTCTTTGTATAGCTTTTTTAGTCATTACTCTAAGTATTACATTCTCTGTTTAACTATTCAAAATAATTTAGAAAACTCCAAAGGGAAAGAAAATCGTAGTGTATTTGCCTACATTTTTACCTACCATGCTTCTTCTTGATAATCTAAGGTTCTTCTTTCATGATTTTTGCCCTATTTAGAGAACTTTCTTTAGGGTAAGTCTATTATTGACAAATTTTCTTCAACTGAGAATGTCCTGATTTTCCCTTCATTACTAAAGGATATTTTTGCTGGTTGTAGGCGTCTTGGTTGACATTTCTTTTCTTTCAGCACTTGAAATATATTGTGCCACTTTGTTCTAGCTTTTATGATGTCTCATGAGAAAAATGCTGTCATTGAAATCATTTTTCTCTATATGTAAGATGTCATATTTCTCTGGCTGTTTTCAAGATTTTTTTCTTCATTGTTAGTTTTCAGCAGTTTGACTATGATGTGTTTTGGCATCTGTTTGCTTGGGTTTACCTGTTTGGGTTTTGCTCAGCTTTTTTGATCTATAGGTTTAAACCACTTGGCAAATTTGGGAAGTTTTTAGCTATTATTTCTTTGAGTACTTTTTAAGCTCCGCCTTCTTTTCCTTCTGGAATTCCAGTGACACAAATGTTAGATTTTATTAGTAGGAGGAGGAGGAAGAGGAAGAGGAGGATTATCCCACAGGTCCTTGGGCTCTGTTAATTTCTTTCTGGTCTGTATTCTTTCTTTTGTGTCAGTGAATAATTTCTGTTGCTGTCTTTTAGTTCATTGATCCTTCCTCTGCCTCCTTTGCGTTCTGCTGCTGAGCCTGTCCACTGAGCTGCTTTCTTTGGTTGTCTTGTCTTTCAGTTCTGATATCTCCAGAGGACTCTTCTTTGTGTCTTCCATTTCTTTCTGAAGCTTTCTATGATTTTGTTTCAAGCGTGTTCATGAATGTTCATTAAAACTTTTTATCATAGCTGCTCTAAAGTTGTTGTTGGATAATCTTCATATATCTGTCATCTCACTATTAGCATTTGTTATTTTCTTTCATTCTGTCTGATTCTTGGTATAAGTGATGTTTGATTGAAACCTAGACATTTTCCTATTACAGTTACAGTCTGTACCTTGTTTAAAGCATCTGTTTTAGTTGGCTTTCTCTGACACTATTCCAGCAGGGGAGGGGGCTGGGGAACTGCTGCCTCATTCCTGCCAGGGAGAGGTACAGTCCAGGTTCCCTGCCCAGCCTCTGTTGACACCTTCAGCAGAGGTTTCTCTCTAGCTGCTGGGTGGCAATGCCAGTCCTGACTTTCTACTATCCAAGCAGAGATGGGGAGAGTCCCCTGTAACTACCAGGTAGTGGATAGAAGTACGGACTTTTCATATATTCTTCACGGTTGCCACAGGGGTTGAGGTGTCTACTTGTCACCAGCTGACAGGGATAAAGTCCTCATCCCTGCTTGGCCTTCTCTGGCATCGCCCTAGGAGGGGTGTGGGGTGCCTTATTGTATCCTCTCTAGGGTCAAAGTCTAGGCTCTTGGCTGGTGTGGGTGGGGCTAGGGCCACAGTTTTTCTGTGTGGTGTTTGGCTGCAGTAAAGTGGTTATCGTTCAAAAGTTTCCTGCCTGGATGGGCTGCCAGTATTACTGCTCATGGGAGAATAGTGGCAGAGTCAGGTGTCAGTCAAATCAAAGATGCCATTGATGATAAGGTACACCAGTATTTTATATATTTCTTAGGAAGAGCAAACTATGTGAATGAACTGAAACGCCATCCGTGGTGAGATGTATGCTGATTTCAGAGAGGTTAAAATATGACAAGAGTGTGCTTCTTGGAATAGATTAAATGTGGTAATTGTGTGAAAAGTTCTTGCAGAGGGAAGAACAAACACTCGTGTATAAATGCTCATCGTGGGCTTTAATGAGATGTACCTAATGAATTCAAAATAGGCTTATTCATGAGACATGAAATTTATGTATGTCTTTTTTTCATGTTAACAATTGGAGATGGTCAACTCATAATTTGTTTTTCTGAGAATGTTGACAAGGTATCTTAAACCCCAATCTGGTGGGTCTTTCTTCCTTGCAGAGATAGAGCGGCCTGCTTTGCTATTCAGAAAGGATTACAGGCATCACGTAGTGACCTTAAGTTATTTAAGCATAATGATATGGCTGACCTGGAGCGACTACTAAAAGAACAAGAGATTGAAGATCAAAAGGTATGATTCTTTTGAAGAAGATTGTGCCATTCTTTTGTGCTTTCTAACCAGCTAAATTATATATGAAATGGTAATTTGTCATGAAAACTTGCCTGTGGGTCACATTTGGATATTAAGCAAGGGCATTCCCACTTATTAAATGTATTTTGTGTTGGAGAGCCAAGTATGATTATGACCGCCTTGTCATACATTATTACATGCCATAATTATATAGAGCAAATTTGGGGGGAGGTAATCCAGGCCGCTGCCTGAGAGAGGGGGAGAGAAACAGCATGCACTTGGTGAGTAGGGGAAATGTATTCTCTCAACTAGGCATAATAGCACCAAAACTCACTAGGGCTTTAATGAGATGCACCTAGTGAATTCAAAATAGGCTTATTCATGTCAGGATAAAGCATGTGTCAACTACATGGAGGAAAGACTAGAAGCAAATCTTAATATACTAATATATGAACAAAGGAAGACCCTTTCTCCCACCCACCTTTATCCTGGAGTTCTGAGCAACTGCTGCCTACAGGAAATGGCAGTCCCTAACATGGTCTCCTCACAACACGCAGCCCCTGTTTTCCGTTTTTCCTTCCCACGAATCTACACAGCCCCCCTGGTAATGGTGGTTTGAAGGTGCTTCCTTAGTGTTCTGATTAGAGCATGGAACAGAGGAAGTGTGTTCAAGGCATCCCTGTTAGATTTCTATTTCATTTTCCCCTGGCAACATGGATGATGAAGTAGCTCTGATCCGTGGTTCTGAGCAGGACGTCACGACTCGTGGGCTGCAGTGGGAAGCTGGTTGCCACAGCCGTCATCTCAGTCGCCACTTCCGGGTGGACTCTGCCATCCCTAGGATAACCACTAAAAAATGCTCCTCGTGTTCCATGATTTCATGTCCATTTGTTTTTCCAAATATTTGCATTATTCATTTAGGATTCTGTCATTTCCGTGCAGGTGTCAGCCTAAGCGCGGCACTTCGTGAATATGTACATGCTTGTGATGAATATGCATGAATTCACCATTTTATGACAGATCTGCTACAGGCCCGTGTTTTATATTTGCACAATTAAGAAAAACCTACAGGGAAAGTCTTAAAATTGAGACTATTCCACTGATTTTCTTTCTACAGTTGTAAAAAGATGTCTCTTATTCTGATTCAGTAATAGAATGCTAGCCACCAGATTGAAGAACACTGTCTTGGAAAGTATGACCAGGGAGCCAGTCTGCTGCGGTTTATTTTGCCAAGTTAGTATTGTATAAGTTTGAAAAACATCATATTCAAGTTTTATGTGTGTCTTTTTTTTACAAGATTTGTAATCCATGGAACTTTTTTTTATGAATAACAAGAAATAAAATTAAGTATCTTGACATTTATTTTTACTTTATAATTTTTCTTTTTATACTAATTAACTTATACTACATTTTCTTACCAAGCGTAGGCTATCTGAATAACTTTACACTCTGGTTTTTAGAATTATTCTGTTTTTCAGTTTCATTTTCACATAAATAATAAATCAGATTGTTAACTTTAAATGTTTTGTCAGTTTCCCAGGTGTTGTGGTTCATGGATGTTTTTCATCCCTTTTCCTATAGCATTCTTCTGTTTCATATTAATTCTTCTATTAAAAAAAAAAAAAAAAAGGATAGGCAGTGGATATAAGCACAGTTCATAGAAGGAATGCTCATAACTTTGAATAAGTGAAAAATAGCCTGGCCTCAACAATAATTAAGGAAATTAAGCTAGAAGGTTTTGACTGTCAAATTAGGGCACATTTTTAATAGTAATAATCAGTGCCAGCACAGGCACTCCTGTAACCCTGGGAAGAGTTGGAGTCATCACCACCTTTCTAGAAAGTAAATGGGCACATGTGTATAAGATTCTAGAATATCCATGCTTTTTGACACATACCTACGGTGTTATCTTTAGAAAATAATCAGAAATGGTGTCAGAGATTGAAGGATATTCATAATATGATATTTAAAAAGCAAAATGAGGGAAATCACCTAAATCTAACATTAGGAAGTAATTAAGTAATTTACAGTTTACCTACAGCATAGAATGTCTCCATTAAAATCATGTTTTAGATAATACTGAATAATGTGGAAATGCTTACAACATAATATTTTTAGAAATCAGATCCTAAAACAATTACAGTAAAATCCTGATTTTTAACAAAGTAATTTATAAATATACGTATATACAAGAAAGACAAAAATTATCACTGCATAGTATGACTAAGTAATTTTTAAAATTCCTTTTTTGTACTTTTCTGTTTCCTGAGATTCCTATACTGAATACTTTTGAATGATAAGAAAAGTACTTGATTTTTGAAAAGGCTGGCAGAGGGAGGATACCCTGTGTGGAAATGACGATGGCCTCTCACTGAGTCCTAGCTCCCCCTGCCTTCAGTCTTGGGTTGACAGAGAGTGAAGATGATTGCACAGCTTCAGTGACGTATACTTTTGTACCTCAACAAACACATTGTTTTTGTGCTACTACTGTGGGTAAATACCCCTTAAAGCACTGCTCTGATACTTTCTAATTCTGATAGTTTCTAGTTTTCCACTGGAGCAGAAGCTTAGATGCAAGAAGACTTTGAGTAGGAAAGCAGTGACAAACTGTGGATCCTAGGATTTTTTTCAGTTCAACACACCTGCAGCATCTACAGATTATGCGAATGAGATTTATTAATGACTTGCCATGAGTAGGGAGCTGTGTGTGTTGTTTGAAGAGGCCTCTCCACCCCACTCACCTGGAAACATCACCAGACAAGGTCACAGTCAAGTCTTACTTGACCCAGTGATAGGTTGGTCCGTGGGGAGTAAGAAAGGAAAAGAGTTACATCTGTGTTTTGGTGGGTGAGTGAGAGCAGTGTTTGTGTTTTAACTTTTTCTTATGGAAAGTTGCCAGCATATAACACAGCAGTGTGGTACCTTCTCCTAACTTTGTTGCCAACATTCTGCCACTCTTGTACCATCTGTCCCACTACCTGCTGCTCACATCATCTTCATGACAGTGATCTTCATGATCATTCTCTTTAGGTAAAGTTTACAGGCATCGAAACATGCAAACCCTAGCCATATGTTCTTGGCCACTGGTTATCGCTGTGTGGTCTGTAGCATTCCCATCTCCCCAGAAAGTTCCCTCAGGCCCCTTTCCAGTCACTCTGGGTCTGGAAGGTTTTGTTTGTGTTTTATTTTCAGAGTGCTGAAATAGTTTGTGTTTGTGAGGTCTCCTATTGATGTTGTGAACTGAAAAGTATGTCTTCAGAGCACCGTTGTTCATCTCAGAATAACTGAGTCTCAAACACTGAGCTCTAAATTTATTCAGACTGTTTTATAATAAGTTTTATAAGGTGAAAGTGCTAGAGAATATGTAATAGATTTGTGTTTGGAGGTAGTGACATGTAAGATGTCTGCTTTTTTCTTTCAAAGAATCCCCGCAAGGCTCGTGTAACTCGACGTTTCATTGTGGTAGAAGGATTGTATATGAATACTGGAACTATTTGTCCTCTTCCAGAGCTGGTAAGCAACCATGTTTAGTCATTATTTTAGCATTTGAACTGCTTGGCAGATGCGCCTTTTGTTTTCGCCCACTTGTAATGTATGATATCTGCATTGCTTTGCATGATAGGCATCAGAAGAGTGTTTTGTTCATACAAGGGAAGTAGAAAGATGTTGAATGCCAGTGCTGACCTTTGAAGAGATATCAAGACTGAGCTTTTAAAAACAAGCTTTATTGAGGCAAAATTGACAAATAATAAGATATACATATTACTTTAAGTGTGCGGTTTGATAGGTTTTGACAGATGTATACACCCGGTTATCATTGCCATCACAGTCAAGTTATAGAACATTCCCATCACTCCAGAAAGTTCCCTCGTGTTTCTTTATAGTTAGTTGCCATCCTAGCCCAGGCAACCATTGATTTGCTTTCAGTTCCTGTAGATTAGTTTTACCTTTTGTAGAATTTCATATAAATGGAAGTATATGTGTATTTTGTAAACACAGGTTTTTTTTGTTTTGGGGGCTGTTTCTTTGAGTTGGAGTCTCACTCTGTTACCCAGGCTGGAGTGCAGTGGCATGCTCACAGCCACCACAGCCTCAACCTGCTGGACTCAAGTGATCCTTCCACCTCAGCCTTCCACATAGCTGGAACCACAGGCATGTGCCACCATGCCTGACTGATATTTTTATTTATTGAAAAGGCGAGATCTCACCATGTTGCTCAGCTGGTCTCGAACCCCTGAGTTCAGGTAATCCTCTTACCTCTGCCTCCCAAAGTCCTGGAATTACAGGCGTGAGCCACTGTGCCCAGCTAAACTCAGGTTTTTAACAACTGCTTACCTGGGTCCCAGTTTCTCCACATCTTTGCCAACGCTTGTTATTTTCTGGGTTTTTTTGAATTATCATTGAGATTTTATCGAGGTGAAATTCACATAACACAGAATTAACCATTTTAAAGTGTACAGGGCAGTGGCATTCAGTACATTGACCACGTTGTGCAACCATCAACTCTAGTCCCCGAACCTTATCATTGTACCAGAAGATGGCTCTGTCCATTAAGCATTCACTCCTCACTATCCCTCCCCCCCAATTCCTGTATTCTATAAATAGAATTTGGGCTATTTCCTATAAATGACACTGTATGCTTTGTGCCTTTTTGTTTCTGGCTTCATTCACTTCGTTTTTAAAGTTCATCTGCATTGTACCAGGTGTCAGTACTTCATTCCTTCTTATATTCCATTGTTTGGATAAAACCATATTTTGTTTATCCGTTCATCTGCTGATGGATATTTAGGTTGTTGCTACCTTTTTGCTATTGTGAATGGTGCTGCTGTGAACGTTTGTTTACAAGAATCTGTTTGAATCCCTGTTTTCAATCTTGTATGTATACACCAAGCGGTATCATCACTGGATCATATGCTAATTCTGTGTTTAACTTAATGAGGAACTGCCATTCTGCTTTTCACAGAAAAATGGCCCGCACCCATTTTACATTCCCAGCAGCTCTGTACTAGGGTTCTAGTTTCTCCACATCTCTGCCAGCACTTGTCATCTTCTGAGGTTTTTGTTTTAGCCATTCTACTGATGGATAGGTGGTATTTCATTGTGGTTTTAGTTTGCATTTCCCAAATGACTGCTAATATTGAGCCTCTTTTCTTTTGCTTATTGGCCATCTGTATACCTTTGGAGAAATATATATTCAAATACTTTGCCCATTTTTAAAATTGAAGAGTTTGTCTTTTTGTTAAATTATGAGAGTTCTTTATATATTCTGGATACTAGGCCCTTATCAGTTACATGATTTGCAAATATTTTCTCCTATTATGTAGGGTTTTGTTTCACTTTTTTGATAATGTCCTTTGACATACAAAGTTTTTAATTTTTATGAAGTCCAATTTATCTCTTTTGTTGTTGCTTGTGCTTTTGTATCATACCCAAAAATCTTTGCCTAATCCAGAATTTTAAAGATTTACTCTTTTGTTTTCTTCTAAGAGCTATAGTTTGGGGTTATACGTTTAGGTCTGGCATTCAAGTTAATTTTTGTATGTGCTGTGATATAGTAGTCTAGTAGTTTATTCCTTTGCATGTGATAATCCAATGGTCCCTGCATCATTTGTTGAAGATACTATTGTTTTTCCATTGGCTAGATTTGACACTCTTATCAAAAGCATTTGGCCATAGATATATAGGTTTATTTCTGGACTGTATTTCATGAGTCAGAGGAAGATCTGAGAGCCCAACAGCTTCTCATGTCATGTATATAAAAATTTGGTGGTACACGGTGGCTTAATTTTAATTCAGTTGTGAAGCTAATTATGCACAAATCTTACATGGGTAAATCAGTTACATATGAGGGAAAAAATACCTATACATAGACATGCATAAATCAGCTTCCTGATGGATTGTCGGGCTGTATTTTTTTTAAATTATGAAATAATTAGAAGAACACATAGATAAATATACACCTAAACCCTTGATGGGAAAGGACTTTGTAAATCTAAAAACAGGGAAAAGCAGACTGAAAAACATAATAAACCTTTCTGCATTCGAAAAGTCTGGGTGTCCACATTAAAACAGAACTACTGAGGAAGAAATATCCACATTTCCCTAGGAGTTTTTGCGTATTGTCAGATTGATATTTCACAACTAGATTATATGTCTGCATCCATAAATGTCTTAATGTTTTCTTTTAAAAATTAATATTATGCTGTCTCTGTTGGTGAGTTAAATCAAACCATTTTAGACCATGCAACATGCAGTCAATTCTTTTTACTCACAGTGGTCGCGTGGCATTAAGTTGTCGTGAACCCTGAAATAGGAAATACTGAACTGTTGCTGCCAGGGCACATTCAACATTAGGTTCCTGCAAGCCTCAGGTCACAGCATTTTCGTCAGCCTTTAATACGAAGCCTGTTTTGTGTGTGTTTCTGTTTGATGATGCCTTATTTAATATATAGTGTTTATTCATCACCATTGAACTTATGGCCAACAGTGTTAAATATGACTCATGCCTGAACAAAGCTCTAACACATGTTTTCTCCATAAGACACATAACAGACTCCTTCTACTTAGGAACCCTGGACAGCATCTCGACCTATACTCAGGGGCCACTTTAAACAGCAGAATCACAGGCACAAAGCACAAAAATGTGAAAAACGCGGCAATAAATAGACCATGAAAAGGACACTTGTTTTCAGTATCAGAACTGAAACAGCCATCCATTCAGCATCAGCTGAGAAAATGCAACCAGGTAGCTCAAATTCTTCACTGCTCTGCATATGCGCATGTCTGTGAATAACTAAAAAATACCCCTGTATTGATTTGGGGGTTACAAATAAATTTTAACAGGTAGGTGAATTGGCAAATTCAGAATTCGTGAATATTGAGAGTCAACTGTACATACTTTTTAATCCTAAGTTTAATTTTTTTTCTTCCTGTTCTGTGTGCTGCTGATCATCTGTTTTAAAGTTGCCTTTTATGTAACACTTAGGTTAAGCTAAAATACAAATACAAAGCAAGAATCTTCCTGGAGGAGAGCCTTTCATTCGGCGTCCTAGGGGAGCATGGCCGCGGAGTCACTGAACACTACGGAATCAGTGTAAGTACTCCCTTTTTTGGAACAGTTCTCTCACATAGGAAGCGTGGCATTCCATTCTGCTAGGCATATTTTTATAGGCACAAAACAATGTTCCTCGTTGATTTGGAGCGTCATGAAACTTTGGTGTTTGTCACCTCACTGAGCCAGGGTGGGTCTGGCCAGCCAGATTAGGGTGCCCCATCTTCCCTTTGAACTTATAAACTCAAAGTGGCTAGTCATGGTTGTGTTCTGTTTATATTAGCATTTGATCCTGGCTTTTCGTGTCTCTTCTCTAGAAATGGTAAATTTTGCCTTATGTTTATTTTTTAAAATAATTAAGAATTTCCTAAGTAGATGGCAATGAAAGGATGTTCTTTCAATATTTGAAACTCTATACTGAACTGGATATAGCAGCTCATGCCTGTAATCCCAGCACTTTGGGAGGCTGAGGCAGGAGGATTGCTTGAGGCCAGGAGTTCAAGACCAGCCTGGGCAACATAGTGAGACCCCATCTCTACAAAAATTTTAAAAATTAACCAGATATGGTGGTATACCTGTAGTCTCAGCTACTTGGGAGGCTGAGGTGGAAGGATTGCTTGAAACCAGGAGTTGCAGGCCAGCCTGGGCAACATGGTGAGACCTTGTCTCTACCAAAAAATTAGCTGGGCGTGGTGACACATGCCAACACATGCCTGTAGTTCCCAGCTACTGGGGAGGCTGAGGAGGATGGATCCCTTCAGCCCAGGAGTGCAAGGCTGTGGTGAGCCATGAGAGTCTGGATGACAGTGTGAGACCCTGACTCAAAAAAAAAGCAAGCCCAAAACTCTGTGGTCTGTATAGTGTGTTTGTGGGAGGTACCTACAGTTTATCCCTTGTTTTTTTATGCAAATAGTGTCAACAACCCGCTGGCATGGGTTCAGCAAAGCCCCTTAAGGTCTCAAATAGTTGGAGTGAGTTTGTCATGTGTCCTCTGCTGAGGCGAATGAACCCAGACTGCCCTCAGTGCTTAGGGGGCCATACTCTTGGAACCTCAGGGCCGAGGGAAGCTGGCCAGTTGCGAGCACCCCACTTTACCAGCTATCATGATGTAGGGTTACAGGAAACTTTTTCTCCAAAACAGGTACATAAAAACTTTGCAACTTGTGTTCCAGAGTTGAGCTATGCAACATCACCTTAGATTATCTGCATCTTGCTACCACACAGTCCTAGAGCAAAAGTGTGGTGCAGAGTCCAGCAGAGAGAGCATCATGTGAAGTTCAGTAGAAGCACACTCTCCAAGGCAGGCAGACGTTCAGCAGTTAAACACACTGAGGGGTTTCAGAGAAATGGAAAAGCATCATTCAAGAAAATGTAGCAGTATACTAGAGCCATCTCTAAGGCATAAACATTTTTTTCAAGGAAAACACACTTTACTGTCCTAGTTTTTAAATGCTTTCAGCAACTATCCCTGAGATAACACTCATGAGGGCCTAACGTAAGAGTGCAGAATTCACTCTCTTGATCCTGATTCAAACAAACACTGTTTTCAGAAATACTTTGTGAGACAGGGACATTTGAATGCTGAATACTTGATGACATTAAAAAACTGAACATCTTAGGTGTGAGAATAGTTTTGTGACTGTGTTTTTGAAAGAGTCCATATCTTTTAAAAATACATTGAAATGCCATGAAATCTAGAATTTGCTACAAAGAAGCAATGAGAGCAGCAGAGGCTGTAGAGGAAGCCAGGCTGTCTGTCCTTAAGGTGATGGTGGTGGAATCTGGGTCATGAGGACTCTTTGGTTTATTCTCTTTACTTTGTATAGACTTGAAACTTTTTTAATAATAAATTATTTTAAAAATTTATTTTTGAGTTGGGGTATCACTGTTGCCCAGACTGGAGTGCAGTGGCATGATCACAGCCCACCACAGCCTCAACATCCTGGGCTCAGGCAGGTCTCCCTCCCAAGTAGCTGGGACTATAGGCATGAACCTGGCTAATCTTTGGATTTCTTGTAGGATTAGATTCTCACTGTGTTGCCCAGGCTAGCCTTGAACTCTTGGCCTCCCAAAGTGCTGGACTTACAGATGTAAGCCACTGCACCCAGCCTAAAATTTTTTTTAAAAGAGCAAGAACACAGAGGTTTGTCTCTTGGATCTATGGAACACTTAGGAAAACAGCAGATGTGGTGGGCGAGCCATTGCTGTGGCTGTCAGTAAGTCATGGTTGGATGCCTGTGTGAATCCAGCGTGGAACTCGGTGCTGGGGCCAGAACACAAGGTGAGGGCCAAGGGCCTCTGAGGACTCGGAAGGATGTGAACTCTCAGGGCGTATGTGGCTGTTGGGACACCCACCCTGTAGGGGATCCAGCTTGGTAAAAAATTTCTCTTGCCATGACATTTGAGTAATTCAGTTTTATTGGTAAAATGCTGAGAGATGGGTTGAATACGAGAATAAAGTGCTCACAACTTTGATCGGTTTGTCTTTATTCATCTCAAGTACATTCCATGGAGAATACTGATTAGACCACTTGTTTAGCAAGGAAATAATTTTATTTTGTACCTCTTCTCTCTTTAATTTATTTGTGTCTTCCACTGTGAGTAAAGTTGTCAATGCATTATGGAATGGCAGAAAAGTATAAAATGAAAGTTTCAGAGCTGGGCCATGAAACTCTGGTTTGTTTAGTAATAGATTTTGTATGGTTTATTCTTCAGTTTTATGTAGGTAGCTTGTTTCAATCCAGTTGTTAACAGACATTTTTAATGTTGAAATGTTGTCTCTAGACTTGAAACTACCTCTTTTTTTCCTTCAAATTGTGGAATAACTATCACTCCTATTTTTCTGGCAGATTGATGACATTGATCTTATCAGTGCCAACATGGAGAATTCACTGGCTTCTATTGGAGGTTTCTGCTGCGGCAGGTCTTTTGTAATTGACCATCAGGTAGGCACTTTTTAAAAATAAAAGGTAAAACTGATTTCATCCGTCACCTCAACATATAACTTCAAAATAAAAAATTTCACTCTTATTTTGTCACACAATTTTTATTTAAAAGGGTTTTTTTAAGCCCTCAAAATATAGTTAGAAATTACCACACTTGGCCAGGCGCAGTGACTTAAGCACTTTAGGAGGCCAAGGTGAGAGGATTGCCTGAGCCCACGGGTTTGAGAACAGCCTGGGCAACTTGGCGAGACCTCATCTCTACAATAAATGGAAAAATTAGCCATGCGTGTTAGCACACACCTGTAGTTCCAGCTACTAGGAAGGCTGAGGCAGAAGCATTGCCTCAACCCAGCAGGTCAAGGCTGCGGTGGCTGTAAGCATGCCACTGCGCTCCAGCCTGGGCGATAGAGTGAGACTCTGACTCAAAAAAAGAAAGAAATTACCACACTTTTTAAAAAGTCTTGTTTTTGTTACATGTATAACGTTTATTTATGGCAGGATCTTACCTCTTCACCACAGGTACTCACTGTTTAGCAGGCAAGGTAGAGAATGGGTGAATAATGTGTTTAACTTGTTTATTTCTTTTTAGAGACTTTCCGGCCAGGGATACTGCTTTTCAGCTTCGTTACCGCCTTTGTTAGCTGCCGCAGCAATTGAGGCCCTCAACATCATGGAAGAGAATCCAGGTATAACCTTTTAAATTCAGGAAATCAAGGAATCTCAGGTTATGTCAATTGGGTTACTGATTTGCTTTTGGGAGGAATTAGGTAGAAGAAATCATTTGCCAGACAAAACTCTGACTCTGAATTACATTGCCTGGCACTACAGGAAGAAGGCCAGTGAAGAAGCCGTGCCTGCCATAGGGACTTAGAGTCAGACCTGCCCTCTTATGCTCAGAGCTAGAGCTAGCTGAGATTTTCTCAGGTGGTGGCTGGATGCTGAGAGGAGGAGCAGCTCTTGGGCAGTTTTGGCCCCGACGCTGCCAGTGGTATAATAAGCCCATTGTTTGGTTTGTAGTTATATGTGAAACTAGCTGAAGGGGACTGCTTTTTGAACATCATAATTCTACAAATATTGTTAGTTTTTCCCTTCAGCCTTTGAATTATCAACTGGTACTGAAGCCAGGCCTGGCTAACCAACAAAGAGAACTACTGAGTGGGCAAAATAAAAAGTCAACTAAGAATTTTAAATTTGGACTTTGGCTATGATTGCCACCATACCAAAGCCTAAAACAGAAAGGGAGAAACAGGCCCTACATGATACAGTATTTCTGAATCTCCATTGTTGATGTTTCTTCAGAAAATCAGAATGTATGTCTGGCACATTCACATGTGTGCTTGTCAGATAGCCTGGCACTCTCACCTCCTGATCTGATACTTTCGTTTTGAATCTTCCTTAAATTAATGGAAAATTTCAAAAGATTGTAAAAATTACTTTACTACAGTTGATTTTTCACCAAATTGGGTAAGATTAAGAAACAAGTGATAGACTTGTACCCCTTGATTCTTAGCCAGACTATCTGTAGAATCTTGATGGAAGCAAAAGCTGTTGTTTTGTCAGAAAGCTTCGTCCCAGGCTTTGCTCAAGTGAGGTTGGAGTGAGAAGTGGCCAGTTAGCGAGTGCCAGAGACCAGAGTCAAAGCATGGGCCCTGAGAGAAGCGCAAGTTCCTGGCTCTCTGTGATTATGCGGGAAGGATTGGCAGCATTTGAATTTGATGAACTTGAACTGGATCTTTAAAAATATTTCTAGGATAGTACTATCAGGTGTTTCACGTAGACTATCAAATGCATGTTTTCCGTTTAGGTATTTTTGCAGTGTTGAAGGAGAAGTGCAGACAAATTCATAAAGCTTTGCAAGGGTAAGTTTTATATGTGTGCAACCAACATAAAGTTTATCTGCATCACACTTAAACAACTAATAAAGAGATTTAAATCTGGCAGGCTTGGGTCCGTTTAACCAAATTACAACTAAAAGCCAAAAATTAGTTCACTCAAATAAGTTTATTTACATAAGACCAGAGCACCATTTGTTATTGCTCTAAAGAATCATGACTTTGTTTTTCTGAACATAAAGAAACTCATTAATAAAACATTATAGCAATAAAGAAGATTCAAGGATAAAAATAAACCACCATCTTTATACCAGAAATAACCAGGGTAAACACTGAAGCCTCTCTCCCCATCTGTACAGATAGAAAAATGTCATTATGTATTATATAATTAGATGGCAGTGGGTGCATCCATCCCGTGTGACTTTTTAGTAAATGACCAGTTTTATTTTAAATTAAGAAAAGTAAAATGGAAGTGAATCCTATATTTCTTTTCCTTTTTTTTTTTTTGTTTTTGTTTTTAACTGTGCAAGGGTCATTCTTTAAGATTCCTCTAAAGTTAGAAAAATTGAGCCTGGTGACATCTTCAGGCACATTTCTGGTCTTAGAGAAATTGATCTCATGTTCTTCGAGGCATGTGTTTCTGCCTTTCCTAAGATGAAGTGTGTTTTTTGATCATGAAAGTCCTGTCTCTGTTACCAGATATGGAAACTAGAGACTTTACTAAAAGAAAAGGACAATTGATAAATGAGTAGATCACAGCTGTTCCAGATAAAGTGTGGGCAGAGACAATTAGAGTTCTGGGTGTGTCTGTATAATAGTAACAGAAGTTCTTGCATGATTTATGGTAGAGACATATATTTGTATTGATTCCAGCTACATTGGTTTGTGAAATATTAATATGCCAGCACAGCCCAGCACTTGGATTTATCAACTGCAGATTTATCAACGCCAACCTCAGATTGCCTTCACTCTGGTGGTAGTAACCTGTTCTTTTTAAGTCCAGTCCTTCACTTTCCCCAGCCCTATCAGACCTTTCCTTCTTTCCAAAATTCCAAATTCTCTGTTATCACTCCACCCATTTTGAGCTAGCAGCCTGACTTTGTGTCGTCTCTTGGGAACTCTCCCATTTTCCTAACAAATCTATGTACCTACATCTACCTATGTATCTGAACCAGTCTTCCCTTCAGTTGTATAGTGCACGAAGTGTTTCCCCAGTTATCACAAGCCATTCTTCTCTGCTAAGGACTGTGTGCCTTTGCTTGTCCTCTCTGTTTTGTCGTTAGGTTCTCCTCTTTCCTGATCGTTCTGTTAGCAGTGTAGTCCACTTTGAATTCCTCCTGCCAGAGCCCCACAGTGCCCGCTAGCAACTACCCCCTTCTTTGCCATATTTGTTTATAACTAGTCCTCTCAAGAGTCGTTCATACTTTCTCCACATCTCCACCCTTCGTTTACGCTGGAAACTAGATCTGGCTTCCGCTCTTGCACTTCCCTGAACCGTTGGATGGAGGGCCTCAGTGTCTGCCTTGTGCCGAGTCTGGTGGTCCATCTCTCTTCAGAGTTTGTCTTACTTCTGTCCTGTAGCTTTCGGCACCGGTGGCCTCTTTCGTTGGACTCTGCTACGCTACGCTTCTGGGTTTCCTTCTACATCTTTGAAAGGCTTCATCGCAGGCTCCTTTGAAGGCTTTTTTCCACCACCCTGCTCTTCAGGGCTTAGTCCTCAGTCCTCTTTTCTTCTCATTACCTTCTTGAAGAATTGCATGTTCCACACCTGGAGCATCCCATTGGTTTCGTGTCACCTACATGTCTACAGCCACAGATTTGCATCTCCATGCTCTACCACTGTTTTTTTGGTAGTGTTGTTTTGTTTTTCTTTTTTGAGTCGGGGTCTCACTCTGTCACCCAGCTGGAGTACAGTGGCACGATCACAGTTCACTGCAGCTCCGACCTCCTGGGCTCAGGAGAACTTTCCACCTCAGCCTCCCAAGTAGCTGGGACTACAGGGGCACATGACCACACCTAGCTAATTTGTTAATTTTTTTAAAGACAAGGTCTCACTGTGTTGCCCAGGCTGGCCTCGAATTCCTCGGCTCAAGGAGTCTTCCCACCTCAGCCTCGGAAGTGCCAGGATTACAGGCATGAGCCGCTGCACCTGGCCAGACTCTGCCACTCTTCAGGGCTCCAGGTGTCACATCCAATTGCCTGTTCCCTATCCACGCTTGGATACTCCACGGGCACCTCCTACTAAACACACACTAGAGATATTGTGGGAGCAAATCACGCAGGTTTGTAAATGACTAGAGGGAACAGTGAATGAAACAGAAAAGAGGCTAATGACAAGAAGAGGGAACTGGGGAACCTAGTGGAAGAGGAGGACCAGGAAAAGGGCCATCCACACAGGGCCTCACAGGCTGTGAGGAAAGCCTTGGTTCACACAGAAAGCCCTGGATGGTTCTGAGCTAAAAAGTACCATGGGCTGACTGAACTTTACATCCTAGCAGGGTTACTCTTGTGTGGTATGAAGAAATATATTGTATGGCAATAAGAGCAGAAGCACATAGACCAGTTAGGAGATGAATGTGGTCAATGGGTGACAATGACTCTGACCTTGGTAGGAGCCGTGAGAAGTGTTTGGATTCTGGATATATTTGGAAGGGAGAGCGAGCTAGATTTGGCAGAAGTTCATGTGCAGCATGAGTGAGAAAGGGAAGATTCATAAGAATATAATTGTTTTCTCTAAACTAGTTTTATGTCCAGCAGTCTTTCTAAACTCTTATTAGAAAGCTCCGGTCGTTTGTTGCATTCTGCTGTGAAGATGTGCGCAGAAGTCCTGTTATCAGCAATAATGTTTTTGTCTCTTTCCTACCATTCTTATACATCTTAGTTCTTCTTGTATTACATTTGTTATTGTGTCTTTGGTTCTGTATTGAACAGTGGCAGCAATAGCAGACATCTTTCTCTCATTCCCAGGACAGAAGCATCTCTCCATTAAATATAAAATATTGTACTCTAGGTTTTTGGTATGTGGCCTTTTATTCCTAGCTTTTTGTTTTGTTTTTTGTTTCATTTTGTTTTTAAGGCTATATTGCCCAGGCTAGAATGCAGTGGCTATTACAGGTACAATCATAGCTTGCTGTAGCCTCCAATCTCTGGGTTTAAGCAGTCTTTCCACCATGTGCCACCATGCCCAGCTAAATTACTCCTAGATTTGAAAACCTTTTTTTAAAATCATACATATATGTTGAGCTTTATTAAATATTTTTATACCTATTAAAATAAATTATAAATTTGTGTTCTGACTGAATCACATCGCCATATTTTCTGATATCTTTGCATTTCTGAGAAAGATCCTACTTGATTACAACATATTTTTCTACACTGTTGGACTTATTTAGTTAATATTTTAATTTGAATTGTTATATCTATGTTTATAATTTATGTGGGTCTATAATCGTATGGTATACAACTTTAAGTAACACAGGAATCAGTGTTATGGTAGCTTCAATACATGATGTGGCTATTTTCCACTCTTTCTACTTCGTGGATCCACTGAGTAAAACCAGTCTTGATTGTTTCTTCATAGTTGAGCAGTTTGTAAGCCTCTCCAGGTTTGAGGCCTTCGAATTGGGGGTAGGTAGTCTGTCATTATCTTTCTTGTGTCTATATTGTTTCTCCTTTGTATTTTATAAGTTCAGTTCTTGTGTTTTTATCGTGTCTTTTATTGATTTTTACTTCCTTGTTTTTATACACTTTTGTTTCAGTGCATTGTTCTTATTATTCATCTTCTTACATTTAGCTTATTTCTTATTTTTCAGTAGATATGTTAAAGATAAAGATTTTAAGAGGCAGTATCTTTACTTCTCTCCAGTCTCTCATCTCAGAGATGAAGTTTGGGAAAGGAAGTCAATAGCCTGTGTTGGTTTCCTCTGTGTCAGTGGGACTAGTGATGGTTACTAGAGTCTGGTTCTCTCCCTCCACTGCAAGCACGGTGGAGACGAGGGGCTACCTTGATGGATGCTCAGTCTTTGGGACCTAGTCCAGTGCTCAGTATTTATCCATTTGGATAAAATTACATGTTTGCCAAAGTTTTTCTTTAAAGAATATATAATAGGCTCTGAAACACAGCTTCTAAGTTTCTGATCTTGAGCTGTAAATCTATGTCCATTTGGTTTTAGTTAAAGTCATCTGACATTCGGCATATAGGGAACCAAAGACGGGGCATTTTGTTTAATTCCTTCTGCCACCAGCCTGCCCCACCCAACAGGTGAGATGAGCCTGTTTGATCAAAGCACAAGCTAGATGTGGGCTTTAGGTGATTTGTATATATTGAGGAAAATTCAAACCATTTGACTCATGTGAAGGGCTATTTGAAAAGCAATTTTTAAATTCAGTCTGAAAATCCATGACCAAAAAAGATTGATATTTCTTGGTGTATGAGTTTAACACATCCAAAATTCACATAGAAAATGGGTTTTGAAAGCAGATTGCTTAGTTTCTACATTGGTAGAATAATCTAGAACAGGGGTCCTCAAACTACGGCCCACGGGCCACATGCGGCCCGCCGAGGACATTTATCCGGCCCTCCAGGTGTTTTTGCCGCCTTAACTTGTTATGACTAGCAGTGACAAATATGGAACCGGACATTGACCATCTCATTAGCCAACAGCAGGCCCATAGTTCCCACTGAAATACTGGTAAGTTTGTTGATTTAACTTTACTTGTTCTTCATTTTAAATATTGTATTTGTTCCCATTTTGTTTTTTCACTTCAAAATAAGATATGTGCAGTGTGCATAGGAATTTGTTCATAGTTGTTTTTTTTTAAACTATAGTCCGCCCCTCCAACAGTCTGAGGGACAGTGAACTGGCCCCCTGTTTTAAAAGTTTGAGGACCCCTGATCTAGAAGCTTCTCTCACATTCTAGATGCTCTAAATTCTAAGATTCCATGATTCTGACCTGCAGCCTGCTTTATTGAGCAATCCTAGCACGATGTATGCCCTTTAAAGAATGGAGATAAAAATTAATAACATCCAGGGGTGGCTTGAGAGCCAGATGAAATTAGCTTCTAGTAGTACCTCACGTGATGGTAGCACACAGTAGTTATTCTATTAAAGCTTAGTGAGTCCTGAACTGGGAAGTTTCTGTTGCACTACTTAGTGCATTTTATGGTTATTCTAAGAGAAAAGCAAATCTTTCTAGGCAAAGCAGACTAAATGAAAACAATCTAAAATGTTTAGCCTGATTTCAAATAAACATGTATCGCCATTATTCTAGGAAATGGGTAAGAATTAAACAGTATTTGTTTTTATAGGATAGCAGCAGATAGCAACAAAGTCTTCCTTACTGCTTTGTGCCAAAGAGACACAGGAGGGCGCAAGCAAATTGGCTTGGTGTTTTTAGACTACACTTTCGGACGTTTGTTACATAACAAAAAGAGAAAATGAAAGTCTGTGGACAATTCACAGACCCCAAAATGCTGTCTGTGAGCCTGGTTTGACACTGGCTATCTTAAGAAAATCCTCTTGAGTGGGGGGAGAAGAGAGCAGTCTGTGGTAGGAAACAGAATACTATCTGGAAACTTTCCATCTGTAGGAAGAAAAAAGAAAGAAAGATCGTACCATTTCTTTGCATAATCATCGTGTCCGTTTTAAATCTTTTGTCTTTTCAATATTTGAAGGAGAAAAAAGAATCATGGTTCTGCAACTCTTGTTATTATAGGATAAAATGGACTTTAAATGAACCTGACTAAATAATATGACAGAGTTCTCATGACATCTGTAATAATCATGTGAACATATAGCATTTTACCCCTAAAGAAATCTTTCTCCCTGAGAGGCTGCACTTTTCTGTGTTGTTAACCCTAAGAAGAAAATAATCCAAGTAGAATCTGAAACTAAACATTCAAATAAGAAAGAAACTTTTTACTCTAAATACATTGCTAGCCAGGCGTGATGGCTCACGCCTATAGTCCCACCACTTTGGGAGGCTAAGGCAAGAGAGTTGCCTGGGTTCAGGAGTTCAAGACCATCCTGGGCAACATGGTGAGACCTCGTCTGTACAGTAAATAAAAAAAAAAATAGCCAGGTGTGGTGGCGCATACTTGTAGTTCCAGCTACGCGGAAGACTGAGATGGAAAGATCGCTTGACCCAGCAGGTCAAGGCTGTGGTAGCCGTAGTTATGCTACTGTACTGCAACCTGGGTGTCAGATTGCGACTCCAACTAAAAAACAAAAACATATCGCTAGTGGTCAAAATATGTTTTTAATGTCAGAAACTATCACTATAATTTGTGAAAAACAAAATACAAACTAAAGACTTATATGGTAAGCAAGAAGCTTGACATTATAATGTGTGGCAAGCGGTCCCTGAAGGAACCAGACAGGATGAATCATAGGAAATGTGGAGCGGACCCTGCCCTAAAGAGGGTGGGTGAAGGGGCCTCACCCAGGGCAACCCCAGAGCTGGGACCTCCACGTGCTCCCAGCACAGGCAAGAGCGAAGACCGGGAAGAGGAACAGCAGCTCAGGGCCTTTGGGGAGGAGGCGGCAGCGGTCGTGCAGATGCCTGGCGGGAGGCACAGCTTGAGGCCCAGGCCTGCCCTCCCAGAGCTGGTGTCGCAGGTGTTTTCCTGGACTGGGAGCACTGCCTGGAGTGCCCAGCCCACCTGTCTGTGGGAGCTGGGACAGCAGCACACGGCGCTCCTGCAGAGTCACGCACCTGTCACGGTCAGTGTGACTGACAGGGTGGCTCTAAGTGATGTCCGCGTAACTGTCTTCGAGCCTGGAGGCCTTTGTGGATGTGCGTGTGCTTCCCTCCCTCAGCATCTCTGGATTAAAAGTGGTGGGAGAGTCCCTTTCGCCAGCCTTTCACCTACAGCTGGAAGAGAGCACCGGGTCTCGAGAGCAAGACGTGAAGCTGCTTCAGGAAATTGTAGACCACGTAAGTATCCAGGTGCTCGAGGGATGCCCCCCACCATTCTGCCCTCTCCCAAGCCATTTTGTACATCGTTTTTAAGAAAGTTCTTCTTGCTCCGAGAGGGAGGGAATAACAGAAGTTGCTGGTTGCCTGCTGATGACATGGAGCTGTCCTGCTGCTCCAGGTTCTGCCCCATTGGGGTCTGGCCGTGGTGACAGGCTACAGCCCTCCCATTAGGCCATCTCTCACCTCCCTCCAAAGTTGCTGCCCTGTGAGCCACCTCGTGTTCAAATACACTTGGCTTCTTGAGAACGCTGAATAGTTAGCCTTGCAGAAGACGCATTGCTCACCATCTGCAGAGCCAGGCATTCATACTGTAGTTGGGAAGGCACCATGTGTGGGAGTCACACACTGCCCGAGAGTGGGCCAGTCTGCGGGCAGTTGCCAGCAAAGCTCGTGTTCACTGCCTGCCTCCCTGCAGTCAGAATACTCTGGAAGGAAGACTAGCAAAATGCCTAATTTGGGAGAGTTATTTAAAGTTCTCTATCTTCCAAAAGCCATTTGACTATTCATTCTTACTTAGTTGTCTCCACGTGTGCCCTGGGATGATGCTGCCTTTCAGTTGAGTCTGACATGCACCTAGTGTGCATCTGAGGATGAAGCGGGTGCCGTTCTGCTTTCTCATCCTGCTGGCAGTTTCCTCCAGGGCTCTGGCTCTGAGTGGTGCTGCAGGCACCTGGGGCCGTGACGGCAGTGCCCTGCCAGGCCTTGTCCCATGCCTCGTCTGTCCATGCCTCCTCTCAGGCAGACTCTTCTCAGTCACAGGCCTGTTCGGTGTAGACCAGTTTGGAGACAGCATCTGGACACACGGCTGGCTTCTGCCATCTGATGTCCTGTGATTTTTGAGCCACGTGATCTGATAATGTGGAATAACGGGTTAATGGGGACTTCGTACAGTCTGAGGCCTTTTAAAGCCAGTTGTATCAACTTCAGGCTAAATCTCCTCTGTTCCTTTGTCATCAGATAGCATCAGAGTCTTTCTACCGCTTTGTGCCTAAGAGACACAGGAGAGTGTGAGCGAAATGACTTGGTTTTTTTGTTTGTTTTTGAGTCGGAGTCTCACTCTGTCACACAGGCCGGGGTGCAATGGCACGCTCACAGCCACCGCAGCCTCAACCTGCTGGACTCAGGCTGTCTTTCTGCCTCAGCCTTCTACACAGCTGGAACTACAGGTGTGCACCACCACATCCAGCTAATTTTTTGATTTATTGTAGAGACAAGGTCTCGCCGTGTTGCCCAGGCTGGTCTCGAACCTGTGGGGTCAGGCAATCCTCTCGCCTCAGCCTCCCAAAGTGCTGAGATTGCAGGCGTGAGCCACTGTGCCCAGCAGCTTGGTGTTTATTTACTGTGCTTTCGAGCATAACATAACATAACAAAAGAGAAAGAGTAGAAGTCTGTGGATAACCCACAGATCCCAAAATGCTGTCTGTGGGCCTGGTTTGATACAGACTGTCTTAAGAAAATCCACTTGAGAGTGGAAGGAGAAGAGAATAGTGTGTGGTAGGGAACAGAATACTACCTGGAAACTTTCCATCGATAGGAAGAAAAAAGAAAGATCTTACCATTTCTTTGCGTAATCACCGCTTCCATTTTAAAATCTTTAAAATCGTTGTCTTCTTTTCAATACTTGGGAGACAGAGAAGAATCATGGTGCTGTAACTCTTGTTTAAGCTTTGTAGCACCAAGAGGTTTTGCCAGGTTTACGTTGAGTTGCTCGACAGGACACTGTTTTTACAAACTGAGCTATTGTTTACAGTGTCTCTTAAGACAGAGCCAGTCCAGATGTTTCCAGGAGTTCAATTCCCAGTGTGCTTCCGGAGCCTGCAGACAGCGAGGGACTGCTGTCACTGCCCTGTCTTGCTTCTCCACCTCTCTCGCAGCTCACCCCGTGCCCGCTCTTCAGGCAGATGCTTGTACTGCCACGCTATGGAGTGACTGTTCTTTCCTTGGCACCACCCTCTGCTCTGTTGATGTTTTAAAATATAATTCATATACCATGAAATTCACCCTTTTGACAGCAAGGTGGATTTTAGTACATTCAACAGGTTGTGCAGCCCTTACTGTCTAATTGCAAAACATTTCATCACCCCAAAAAGAAGCCCCCATGACCTATGACCTTGCTGTGGGTTTTATGCTTGCTTTATTTTAGTAGAAAATGTATTAATTTTTAAAAACATTGGCTGGTGGCTTGTATATGGGAGCACTGTGCAGACTTTAACACCAGACTCGGAGGCGCCCTCAGCACCCACCAGAGGCATCCATGGGGATTGGCCCTTGGCTAGGTCTGAGTGTAGCAGCTGCTCCGACACGGTGCTGCTATGGCGTTCAGGCCCAGCTCCTGGTTGACCCGCAGGGTTTTGCTCCCACGCTCCTTGCGTTCTAGCTCTGCCTGGGCTGCTTTAATGTAATCTAAGCAAGCGTGAGGAAGTGAGGACTGCAACACCCCCGTAGCACCCACGTGTCTCCAGGTGCTGAGACACTCGGGGACAAGGTGCCACTGCAGAGGCCTCTGTGGACAGTGCTCCCCACGCTGGGCTTGGTGCATGGTTTTGCCTTATAGCGGCTGGAGCTGAACACTGAATTAAAGCTGCTGACCTGGGATTTTCATGTCCCCTCATTTTAACCACTGTGTGTCCGGAGTCCGGGTGACGGAGGTCCTCCTTTCTCTCTACACAGTGCATGAACAGAAGCATTGCATTGACTCAGGCACGCTACCTGGAGAAAGAAGAGAAGTGCCTCCCTCCGCCCAGGTTAGTTAAATGGAAATGAAACCTTACTTTTTTTCTACATTAAACTCTATCAAATACTTTAGGTTTTGAAAGACTACCACTGGATAAGGAAGAATGTCTGTTGTTAAAATACAATACATCACCTGTTTTCTGCTCTTAAACTGGAAGTTTTTGCATTTTAGCTGAACAGCCCCTCGGGACTCACAATGTAACATCCCAGTTAGCTCCAAGAGATGTCTGGTCTCTGGGCATGAACTGGGACAAACCAAGTCCAGTCAGCTCATACCTGCCATAACTCGAGGTGGTATGTGCCCTGCAGGCGGTGCCTGCCACAAGAACCGTGCCGCAGGAAGGCCTGCAGTCCTGGCGTTTTGTTGACTGTGTAGACTTCCCCATCTTTGCCCCTCGGCATGTCGCCTCTGGGGTGCTTCAGCCAGTGAACACTCACTGACCCTCCCCAGGAGGACAAAGAAAGGCGAGATCTGCAGAGTCAACAGAACATGCCACAGGTGAAAGATGTTAAAGAGCACTGGCCTGTCCTCATTGCTTACGGGATGGTCCATGGAGGTGGCCATCCACACACACCCTGTGCCAAGTAGTCCCAGCAGGGGCATGATCAGTTCTGCCCTAGGCAGTGCTCAGGGCCTCTGCGAGCCACTGATGCCTGAGCCGAGTCTGGAGAGACAGCACATCAGGCCCCAGTGGGTGTCAGCAGAGGGGTGGTGTGAGCCCTGCTCAGGGTCTCCCGTGGTGTGGACATCTCCAGGTCCATCTGGGAGCCCAGAGCGCAAGCTGCAAAGGGGCTGGAGAGAAGCACTCCGGAGGAGACTGGTGCCAAGTCAGAGAGACTGCAGGAGAGCCCACAGCTGCGGGTTTTATGCGGGAGAACCCAGTCTGAACGATCTGCAGGCGCAGAGGGCCAGGTCAGGATGGGAAAGTCACTCTGGCCACAGCTCCAGGCCACTCACAGAGCCCGTCCTCTTGTTTTTCATTGCACCCACCCCAACGTGTCATCCTGTATTTACTTATAAGCTTATAGATGCGTGAGGATGGGAGCCATGCATGTTTTGTGGCCTCTGGACTCCATGCCCAGCACAGTACGGCTCAATAAATGTGTGTCCAGTGCATGCAGCAGATGTTTGGGAAGGAAGTGAAGGGGTGGAGGTAATACCATCCTGTCAAACTCACACTTCTGCAGCTTCCTGAAAACTTGAAAATCTCTGCCATGCCTCAGAGCATTATAGAACTTCAACTGTGAGTGTTTATTGACTCACAACTACAAACAGCCAGCTATGCACGATGCACGATCCGAGAGAGGTTCGCTCCCCCTTGGTGCCTAGCGTGCCTGCAGCAGGAAGTGGTGGACAGGATGCCGACCAGATGCGATGGATAGTCAGCAGGCTGCAGCCTGCCGCAGCGGCCCCCAGCACATAGGGGAAAGGCAGCTGGGGGCAGCAGAGCACGCACAGGCAGGCAGAGTCCCATGAGACTGTTGACAGACACGGTGGCACTGGGTTTGGCCCTCTGGCTGTAGGTGGCGGGCCATTGGTGTCGATTTTCGTCTGGTAATTCTTGGTGTCCTTGACTGCTTCCCAGCATTAGGGTGGTGGTCACTGTGGAGCAGACGGAGGAAGAACTGGAGAGAGCTGCGTCCACCATCAAGGAGGTGGCCCAGGCTGTCCTGCTCTAGGCTGAGTCCCAGGGCAGTGGCCTCCTGCTGCACAGCATGCGACAGGACTCGAGACCGTCCTCTGGCCAGGGCATGACCCGGAGGAGAGGGGAGTACGTGAAGGCTTGTTACCAAGGGGTGTGGATGCGGACCAGTGGTGTGACCGTGGGAAGGATGCTTACTGCTTTAAAGAGAAGACACATCTAAAAGCCCAGGAGCTGGTTTTTTTAAGAGAAAAACTAATTGCAGTGTATAACTGGTATTTAAAGTACGCATTTAGTACTATTTAAATGTTTTATTGTACTAGCATTTTATATTCCTTTTGTTGTCGGCGTCTAAAACTGGAGCTTCACCTTCTCTCCCTTCTAACAGGAACAACTCTGTGAGCACTCCTTAACTCCATAGTGTTTTGTGGAAAAGTGACCTGGCCACATTAGAACTGAGAGCAACACGTCAACGTGTGTGATACAAAATTTGTTATTGAAGATCTAATTCAGCCACATATTTTCCAGTCTTCATAGTGTAAACTCAGTGGTGGCTAAAAAGAACACTTTTTGTTATAAACTTTGCGTTGCATTTGAATCCTAGAATTTTTATATGCACTAAATATTGATGTTATACCATTTCTAAACTGAGCATCCCTAGCCAGAGAATATTCATTATACTACCTAAGTGAGCAATAATTTCAATCCAGTACTATTTTATTTTAATATAATTGGCCTTTAAATTTATTATGTACATGTGGGCTTCTAATTGTTGTGGGAAGAGGGTTGGTTATTATTAGGATGTTTATTCCAAAATATAAATCACATCCTTTATATTGTAGAGTGTCTTAAATGTATTCCTTTTTTGTATGGTGGGTTTGCCTAGGGACATACAACTACAGGCTTTTCTAAGCTAAGAAAAATGAGAATGTTTTTTCTTTCCAGCTTACAAATTCCAAATATCAACAAAAGATGTGAAAGGACTAAAATACAATTTTTAAGCTGTACTTTACCTGTTTTTCCTTTAGCAAATCAAGTGAAGTGGTGTAAAGGTTTGTGATATGTGCACAAGATAGCATATAAATATTACAACATTATTCCTTTTCGTATTAAAGGTAAAGGGATAAAATTGTAAAAAAAATTTTCATTTTTATAATCTGTGTTCATATGAACATGATCTTAAGCGTCTTTTTAAATAACATGTATTTTTTTAACGTTCAGCTTCTATGTTGCTTGAGGTATTTCGTACTGATGTGCCTTGTGATTGCTGCTGCTTTAAAGGATACAGTATTCTTTGGGGATGGATTTTTTTTCAATGAAATAAACCTACATTCCTGATGATTGGTGTATTTGCATATAACTTATTCAGTAGAATGGTCTCTTCGTTTTAACTTTTTGCATACCTAGGGTGGTATTGTGTATGTGTTGTTTTGTTTTAGAAAATAACAACTGAATTTTGTAGTTCCTTTTTTCACATCCAACTAACTAAGGAATGTACAGTATCTGAAACGTCCTGGGTTCCTGCTAACCTCTTAGGACAACAAAAATATCAGAGCCATTATTTTTATGATATATATATATTCATATGTATGTAAATATTGTGTCTATTTTGGGGTTTTTTTAGTTGGAGGTCTCTGTCACTCAGGCTAGAGTATGGTGGCACAGTCAAGGGCTTACCACAGCCTCTGCCTCCTGGGCTCAAGTGATCCTTCTGCCTCAGCCTGCCGAACAGCTGGCACTACAGGCATTTCCAGTAAACAAAATTGTCCACAGGAGAGTAGGAAACCACTGTTTTCAAGTGGACTTTGAGGCAAGTTGGGACAGAAAATAAACCAGTATTTCATCAAGTTCAGAACATCACTAATTGTGCCATATTTGCTTTATATACACTAAAAATAAACCTCTCTGGTATAGTGTCAGCTGTAAGATGTATTCTAGCATCAGAGATACTGTAGTATGGATGGAGAAGGCACATCTTAAAATCTATGAAATAAGACAGTAATCATCCGATGTGTGAGCCTCATGCCGCCATCTTTCCTTGTGCACATAAAACCTTAGTCCCAGAAGATGGAGACGTCCGAGGATGACGGTGACCATCTAAATCTGAATATCTCCATCTTTCCAAAACACTAGCCTTAGGATGAAAACAAATGAAATATCCATAATCTACACCTACTATATGGGTTAAGCTGTAGAGGTGCCTAGCTTACTGATAAGTTTATTAAAAATAAGTCATCTCAAAAGCAACACAACAAAAGAAAATGTGAATTAAGGATTTTACATACTCAAGGCAGTCTTTCAAGTAACAAAGTTTTAGAAAAACAGTTTAAAATTAGAATTCAGTACTTGCTCATGAGCTCTTCCTGAGGAATCTACTAGGGGAAAGTACCTAAGAAATGCAGAAATTAATAATAATGCAAAATAAGCTCATTATGTAGCTAATAAGTAGAGTACACCGATACTTAGACTGACAAAGGGAATACTAGAAGATAAATAAGAAAATAGGGGATTAAGGACATTATAAGAAATTTTGATTATAAGGATAGCCAGTAAAACACAGCCCTTCTCAGAAAAAAATAGACCTCATAAAGAGGGAAAAAATATATAACACAACATACACAAAAAATATAACTGTCAAACTGCACTTGTATCCCTAAATTTATACAAATTTAGGGGAAAAGAGAAAAACAAAATAGCATGAGTTGAGGCCAGACATGTTAATCATACCAGTAAATGTGCATGCACTTAATTTCTGCTCCAAGAAACCTTCAAACTGGTTCACAAAGCAAAACATAAACTCAAAGATACACCTAAACTAAACTCAATGACTCAGAAAAACTAAACATAAAAATAGAGACAAATGCTGATCTCACACAAGGTGGAATTCAGGCCAGTAGACAAGAAGCATGTAAAGGACACAACCCAAAATAATGATTCGACAGTTACGAATATTTTTGCATGAAGTATGACAACAACCCACATTCACAAAGCATATGATGGCGCTTCAGGGGAAAGTAGTCACATTTGGAGGCTTGAGCTTGCTGTCTTAGAAAAGGCAAGCGGGCAAAAGATAGTAGGGCTCTAAATGACCTAAGCAATAAGATCAGTCATGCAGCAGCATATCCAGTTTGGTAGTATCTAGGTGGGTGTAATATATGTATATATCCACATACACGTGTGGGTGTATGTATTATGTATAATACAGATGGGTTATATTTTATCAGTATATACCCACATATCAGAAAACAGGACTTATTCTCAAACATGGAATTTCACGGATATTGGTCATTCGTTAGAAAGCCTGAATTAGTTTTATAAATTACAAGATTTTCAAGGAAATGAATAAGTATGACCCATGCGTGGAGGGGGGCAGTCAAAATGAGCTATATTTATTGTTATCAGATGTTGGTTTTAGCAGACGGTTTTAAAGCAGCTGTTACAAATTTGTTCCCAAAACTACAGGAAACCATGATTAAAATGAAAGGAAAACATGGTGACAATAACTCAACAAAGAGAAATTTAAAAGAGTTAAATGGAATTTCTGGAATTGAAGAGTAAAATAACAAAAAAACTTACTAAAAGGGGCACAACAGAAGATGAGTGAGTTTGAAGACAGAGCTGTAGTAAATAGCCAGCCTGAAGAAGAGAGAGCACCAGATTTTTTTTTATTTTTTTAGAAAGCAGGATTTATTGAGAGGATGGGAAAACTCCCAGAGTGGGAGGGGACCCGAGGGGGATTCCCAGGGAACCAGAAAATAGAGCATTAGAGACCCATGGGGCATGTCCAGCATTCTTTATACCAACTTGTTTGTAATGGGAGAGGCAGACAAAAAAGGCCAGGTGCGGTGGCTGAAGCCTGTAATCCCAGCACTTTGGGAGGCCAAGGAGAGAGGATTGCCTGAGCCCAGGGGTTCAAGAC